AGAACTTCAAGTATAGCTGCAACATAAAGCTAACCCCCTCTTGTTTGTTCAGGGATCCTCATGGCTCCATGTGGGAACAGACCAGCCTTTCAAGTCCATCTCCATCGGGGCTGCCAGCCAGGTTTGGGCCATCGCCAAGGACGGCTCTGCCTTTTACAGAGGATCTGTCTCTCCAAAGAGCCCTGCAGGTCGGTGGGAGAAGCTCTGATATTCTGCCTTGAATTTCAGAGAATACCATTCATGTCGCTGTCAGTTTTGAGTCAAAAACATTATTTAAACTTGAATGGAGGTAAGAAAACAAAACGGACACCACAGGCTTGATTTTCATTTGCATGTTTTCACTGTGTGTACTGTGTCGCCCTCTGCAGGAGACTTCTGGTCCCACATCCCCTCCCCAGCCAAGCAGAAGCTTAAGCAAGTGTCTGTTGGGAGGACATCAGTCTACACTGTAGATGAAAATGGTAAAGTGACTTGCATCTATATATATATATATACAACTTGCATTTAGGGATACCTACAGTAAAATGTCTCATCAGGTGACTGATGTGGCTGTTTCCTGTGCAGGTAACCTGTGGTACCGGCAGGGTGTGACCCCCAGCTACCCTCAGGGATCCTCCTGGGAACACATCTCTAATAATGTACGGAAAGTCTCTGTAGGGCCTCTGGACCAGGTCAGCACTATCGGTCACCTTTCGCTACTGTCTGAATTGAAGCAAAATGAGAGATGTGGGTGCGATAGCCATCACATTAGGTACATCAGCAGCTCTGAGCATGTTTAGGATACCGCTGATGTCCCTGTGATATGAGGCATGACAGAGACTGGGTTGGTAAATGTGAGCACGCTGTGGGCAGTTTATTGATTTTTACCTCTAATACTTTTTTGTATTGAAGTTCAGTCTTCTAACATGAAAGTGATGCAGCTTTAATGGATGATTCAAAAAAATAGACGTGAACACATGAATACTCCAAAATCTTGGTAGGAAATACAGTACCACTTTCAGGTTGGAAACAATCCTTACATGGTGACCGGTGGGTGGTGATTGTTGTTGTTGTTGTGGGGATGTAGGTGTGGATCATAGCAGACAAGGTGCAGGGCAGCCACAGTCTGAGCTGTGGGACAGTGTGCCATCGACTCGGTGTCCAACCCATGGAGCCTAAAGGACAGTCGTGGGACTACGGCATCGGGGTAAGACACCAAAGAAACTAAATTCTGTTGACAGTGTTGTGATGTTTAACTTGGATTTGCAGAAACGGCCACGACAATTATTAAACTTGTTTCTCCCAACCTCCATCTTTTTGTCTTATGCTGGACTAGAGGGGATTGATTTGGAGTTTCATGCTGTGCTACCTTAAGTTACATAGTGCAGCTTTAAATAAGAAAAACAAAGTTAAGAGTTTCTGGTTGTTTTTCTTCCACCTCCCCTGTGTCTGCTCCCGACTCCCTCTTGCATTTGACAGAAAGGATTTTCACATTCAGACAACTTTATTGATCCCAAGGGGGGTGGTTAATTTGCAGCTTACCCAACCCATACACACAATTACAAACACAGAGACAAAATTGTTATATGTCAGGCCTCAAGTCACAGTGATCAATAATAAAGAACATAAAAAAGATAGATCCTAATATAACTATGGAAAAGGAATGTAGCATCTAGGATTTAAATTTAAATTGAGTGCTCTTAGTGTTTACTAGATTAATAGCAGAGGAAATAAAAGACTGAAAAGCAGTTAGTTTTGCTAAGAGGTGCATTATCCTAGTAAACTCGCTGGACACAGCATAGCCAGACTGGCCGTTCTTTTGCTTTCTGAATCACAGTCTCTTTGCTGGACTATTGTTATGGTAGGGCTCGCTCTCCTGTTTCTTCTAGTTGCATACACCACAATAAGGATCCAGATAGTTTGGCAGCCTCTTCCGGCCACTGTCTTCACAGACAGTAGGGGATTTCTGGCCTGACAATCAAGGGCTTGTGCTCGCTCAGTAGTGGCATGTTTGTAGAAGCGCCAACCTGGATTAGCTTATCCGTCTGTGCCACAGACCTCTGTTGTTTCAAAAGCAAAGACACTTCAGTGAAACAAAGCGCTGCGCTGGGTGGCATGTTTCTTCATCAGGAAACATGAGACTTGAATGTTTGTTAATAAGGTGTCTCTATATTTTTGTCTTGCCCATTGACGTACATAGAACATTAGGAACACCTCTGAATATAAGGTAGTCCAGTACAACACCACCTTTAACTATGACCTCAATAATGAACATATAATTGAATTTATACATTTATAATAATCTCACCAAAAACTGAAACCTTTTGAGCTTCATAAACAAATGTTAAGGCACAAGTGTTGGATTGAAGTGCATACAGATGTACAGGTGGTCATAATGTTGTGCCTGATCAGTGTAGATGTGCACATGCATGTTTTGTGCATGATCTTGTTGGCACTGTGTGTACATATGCATATTTGTGTACAATTTTATTGCATTTCTTACATGAAGCACTTTGTGTTTTGAAAAGTGCTGTATAAATAAAGTGCAATATAATAACAGGTGTGTGTCATGGTTATGAGCTGAAATGAGTTTTTTTTTTTTTGTTTGTTTGGTTTGTTTTGTTTTTTTGTGATTAAACCCACAGAGGAAATGGGTTTTCTAGGTGCCTGGATCTGATTTCTCTCTTGCTGCCTATCTTTTTAGGGTGGATGGGATCACATTACAGTGAGAGGGAATTCCATGGAGCCTCCCCGCATCTGTCTCCCCTCTTTAATAGAGCCGTCCTTTTCATGGAGCCCACTCCCTGTCAGGACCACAGAGGCCAACGGCAGTGCTGTGGGATGTTAGACATGCAAAAGCACACAAAGGTACATACATATTGTATGTAGCCATCCTAAACCATATTAGTTGATTTTTTTATATGTTTAAAACCACTTCTTGTAACACTGAAGGAGCGGTGGTGCTAATTCAGCTCCGAACATTAGCACACAGGCTTTAGTTTGTGACTGTGACCTTTGAACAATCTGACAGCTGAAAATACTGAGGTGAGTCTGTCTGAAGATGAACTGCAGATTTTGACTATCAGTCCTCTTTTGTTTCAGGTATTACTGTGTAAATGTTTGGCTTTGCTGTTTGGCTTTTGTCACTAACACTGAATATGATTCTCTTTTTCTTGTTTATTCATCAGGGTGTGATGTTTGTGTGGTTTCTGTGCATAGAGTACTGCATGTGATGTCAAGATGACCGCGGAAAGGTGATCATGTTTTAAAAGGATTTTATGATGTTTTTATAAATAAGGAAAAATATTGTACCTAAAATAAGAAAGCACTCTTCTGAAAAATTAAAAAGCCTTTATTCAGATGGCTAACATGTAGAAGATTAAAAATGATGTATATTTCAAGTTGTGGTTACAGCCCACACGTAGCGGCAAAAAAACGCCTTCAGGGTCTAACCTGCAGTTAGACCCTGTTAAGTACATGTGAGACAATTGTAAACGTGGTCATCACGAGGAGCCAATCAATGGACATAGACACATTAACCCTGCCTAGAGAAGATGGCTACACAAAGAAACCTCAAACAACAACATACAGCCATAAACATTACATGGGCTGCAACAAATATACAAAGAGAAACCTTTCCCCACAGCAATATAAATATACAAAGAATAATTAATAGACATTTAGAGAAAAGGACTACAAGCAATGTCATCATTCAGTCCTGGATATGTAGCCCTCAGTTGTCTGAAGCAGCAACTTCAAGCACTCACCACCCTGAAAGCTCTTATTTATAGTGTCTAAACCTTCAGCCTTAAGGATTATAAGGATTTTGATGTGTGATATAGTCTGTTAATGTCATGACTGTTCAGTAGTTGGCATTGTAAATAAGGAAAAATAAAAAGTGTGCAGTACTTGTAAAAATTTTGTGGTTGAAATGCTAAAACTGAACCTTCCTCTTTCTCAGGAGATTGCTTGCATTTGCATGCTATCTACTTCCTTTGGACTAATGGTAGTATAATGACTAAGCAGTAAAAAAAAAACAGCTATAAAAACACTATTTTTTGTTAAGATATCAATATTACACAGTAAGTGTAGTGGCTGTTTTTAGATGGAAAATGTTTGTATAAAGAACAAGCAGTTTATATATAGCTTTGCATTAAATCATACACACTGAGTTAATGGCTGCCCAGTTTCATCCATATTAAATAGGATGCAACATTTGTACATGTTCGAAGTATACATAAATCTGTATGTATCTGTGAATAACATCATACTGTGTCGTGTTATCAGTGCTGCTGATATTGTGGGCTACATTTCTCGAGTGTGGTGCATGATCAAAACAAGAGTCCCAGTGAATAAATAAATGTTTATTGATAACTCCTCAGATATATTCCCTTTTATTTTCAGATTGGTTTCCTAACAAAAAGTCATATAACAGTCACTTTCAACATTATCTCTGCCTTCCAGCTACTGTATGGGCACAGACTACAAGACAGTTAGATCATGTTGTTAAAATTAATGGTAGACTGCCATCATCAGCAAATGAGCACGTTCTTGCTTAAACACTGTGATGTGGAGCCGCTTCTGTTCTTCCTTGATGTGGCAGTTGTGACCGGAGGCCATACTCAGCAGGTTTCTCAAGAGAAAACACACAAGAAGATCACAAGATAACACAAAAGTGAACCCATTCCTGCCTGAGCTCAAACAATAGAGGATGAGAAATTTAAAAAGAGACATTTTGGCAAAAGATTAGCCCTTCCTTTCTGAGTTCAATAGCAAATGTGTCTTGTCACTTGTCATAACTATCATGCATTTGATTTTTGCTGTCCTCTGTGTCTGCTGGGAGAACGGTCCCCACATCATTCCATATTTTGCATTAGGAGAACTCCATTCTTGCTATGATCAAGGACTGGTTTACTGTCAGAGGTCTATGATCTGGACCACCCATTTCCTATAGAAAACCCCAAGAGATCCAAGAGCCATGCGACTGTAGAAACTGTTTGAGATTTGGCCCCAAAAGTCCATCCACAACATTCCACCTTGGAGACCAGCCTCCTGCTGGCTCTCCTGGTCTCCCCACCAACTTGCAGCCACTGCTAACTGCGCTGGTTGAAGGTGTGCATGTGGGTGAGGTACTGGGTGAGCCCATCCTCGGCCTCCTCCTCTAGGTGCTGCTGGTAGCACTGGAGCAGCTTGGCAGTAGTGGCCTCTGACGGGACCCCACCAGAGGGCAGGCAGGCCCCTGACATGTCCAGGACGATGGTGGTCAAGGCTTTGATGTAATTCTTAGCCAGGGTCAGAGTCTCGATCTTGGACAGTTTCTTGTCAGTCTTGACATGTGGGATGGCCTCACGTAGTGCTTGAAAGGCGTTGTTGAGTTTGTGCATGCGTTGGCGTTCCCGCTCGTTGCTCTCTAGTCGCCGAATGCTGCGCTCCTTGGTGCTGGAGCCGTGTTGTCTGTGCCGTCGGCCTCTACCTGCTCCTCTTTGACGCTTGCCTCCCCCGCTCCTCAGTGACCCCCTCCAGGAGCCACCGATCCGTACAGAGGCCTCTGAGCCTTCCTGCTCACTGGAGCCAGGTTCTGGTTCTGTGTCTGGTTCCAGATCTGGCTCTGGGTTAGACCAGGTCCTTCTGGATGGTTTCACAGCCTTCCCTTTGGACTTCATCCTGCTGGCTCCTGCACTTCTTTCTTTGAAAGTGTAGGTCACAACTTCAACAGGCCTAGAAGACAACAGAGGATACAGAAAAAAACTTTTTGCTGAAGTACAAAAAAAAAAAGTATTTTACTGTAACATGAAATCACTTTTTTTTTTCTTCAAATAACAGCTTTTTCTGAGTCAGCCAGTAAACCCCAGTCACTACATAGGCCTCTCTCCAATTCGAACAGCCTAACATCCTGCTGTATCTAATCAGCCTCTGGCAGTGAGAAAGCTCCATGATGTTGGTCTGTTAATCTACACCTCTCTTATCCCCATGGTCCTGAGATAATGTCCATTTCAAGGTTACACTCACACAAACGCAGAGACCAGCCAGCACCTCCGGGGCTCTTTCAGTGTAACCAGTAGATGGTTTGTTTTGCCCTATTAGAACCAGTAAATAAACGCCCTGAACTCATTACTACATGTGGTTTTTCCACATTCAAATACACTCTGGCTTTAGTCAAGCAAGTGAAATTTCTTTAAACCATATTATCAGTCATGATAATATTAAAAGATAACACAGTTTAGCATAGATTAGTGCACAATCTTCTCTATTTTCTGCAGGGTTCCAAGTCAAATGCATTAACTGGAATAAAATAATCCAGGGCAACAAAGACAGTGAATGAAACACCACCGAATAAACTACTAACGAGCCTTACCTCGGAAGTTAAAGCAACTTTCCTCCTCCTGTTTACAGAAAAAACGTCACCATGCAGCCGCTCGTTAAAAACACCACCACGCAGAGTAAAGAGCCGAGAGAGCAGCAGAGCGTCGCCGCGCAGCCGCTCACGCACGGATAACTGTCACATGTGAGCGAGCCACCTGGAGCTGACCGAGGTACACGTCGCGCTGCTCAGCCAATCACAGAGCGAGGAGCTCCCTCTGTCACAGTGATGTGGTCCTGACAGCGAGTGTGTGCAAAACGGGCTGCATCCAACAGAGAAGAAGGGAAATGAATAAGATATTAGATGAACCTTTTTATTTCAGAGTGGAGTAAAAGTAGCGATATTACACTGTAAAATACTCCAATTAAAAATCCTGCTTTCAAATTGTTAACTTTAGTAGACGAATGTCAGTAACAAGATGCACACAAAGTATAGGTTCATACAGACTGGCTCCAATCTGTTATCAGTATAATTAATGATGCATGCAGTACTTGTGTAGTTTGTTTCAATGCATCATGTATTTAACTGATTATAGGTTTTATATATGAAATATCAACTGCTAAAATCATGCAGTGAAATAAAAAGGGCATTGTCTTCTAAACATAGTGGAGTAGGGTTTCATAAAATAGAAATACTCATAGTACAAGTACTTCACAAGTCTAATTAATTACAGGACTTGGGTAAAATTTACTTTCCAACAAGGATTATATCTGATATTTTTTGATAATTGCTATAAGCCATGACTGAAACATGCAAAGATTCAGTGTTTCCTTCCAAATTTAAGTAAAAACAGCACAGCATTATACTAGCACCATGGTGTTACATCGTAATGTCACAGTCTCTATTAAAAGTCCCAGTGAATAACATTATTTTATACTGCAAGCTTGTCAGGGAGTATCATTAGAGATACAGATGGTGGTGGTCACTATTCATTTTAATATTGACCTCATGTGTAGTATGTATAACAAATTACTTTCTATGTCTAAATTTCAAATTACAAATGTATGTTTGTCACTGTACCATCTGCTCTACCACAGTACTATAGTTCAAGACAAAGTGTAGGCTTTTCTTCTTCTCTGTTCCTCAGATGAACTTTTTCTTTCGTTCTCAGCAGCAGAGGTGAACTGGTCCGTTTGTGGCCTGCTATAATGAGTGAAGTTAGACAGCTAAAGGAAACGGTCCTTCACTTTGGTGCTTTGTCTGCTCTCCTAAGCAGTTAACATAATTTCCATTGTGGCTTATCAGCTTCCACTGCTTCATTTGAATACAGCTCTCCAGGCTGAATGTACAGAGGCAGGATCAGATCTCATTTAAACTATGACACATTATTTACTTTCTACCAGACAAATTTAACCTTTTTTCACTGCACTCATAAGAGATTAATGCCGACTTGTGGGTGGCTTCAAATGTGTCAAAATAAACAAGAATATAATTAATCTTTCTGAAAAATAACCATCATAACCCCTCCCCACATGGATGTGTGAGCAGTAATTCCCCCCTGTCTGTTTGTCCTGGGGGCCAAACACAACAGTTGGCAGCTGGGATTATGGCCCTTTTCCTACTGTGATCGATAGAGCGAGCGTGTTGGCACGGCAGTACGACGTATGAACCATTTACATAGGTAGGTTTCACAGCAGCGTTTATGCAGTGGTAGCGGTTGTATTCTTTATATTTTTCCAGACCAGATGTTTCTGATATTTCTATTCTTAAAATATCAAAAGTTATAAAAGAATAATGCATGCTAAAAAAAAAACAACAACTTATAAATACTACTTTTTATATTTGCTTTCAAAGATAGATAAAATGGAAATTCTCTAAAATCCTTACTTAAACAAAGGACACAACCATACAACCATTTAAACTGTAGTGAAATTAACTGGTTTAAAAAGATTCTAGAAAATCAGATTTTTTAATGTTCAAAACAACAACGTCTCAATGCTAATATGCTAATGGTGTAGACTGAACTCAGTTGGGTTAAAGCTCTTCCAGTGATATTTACAACATTTTTACTATAATGTCTAAATTTGTGAAATTCTGAACTAAACAAAAAGACATTACTAAAGTGTCCTCATTAGTTTACTCTTTTTCCTATTAAAACCATAAAGTTTAAGAGTTCAGCTTCACAAGACAATAAAATAACAGTGTAATAATAAGGGATAAATATTTATGCATTATTATTTTTGTTTGTTCTATTTCCGCTAAAAGAGAAAATGGTGCTACACAATTCAAATGAATTGCAGCAACTTTAAAGCTGGTTAGCATAAAGGAAAACCTATAATAGCACATGTGTGAACTTTGCTGCAATAAAAAGGAGAAAATACCTAGGAAATAATAAATGCAAACTTTACTGTACAGTTATCCTGAAGTGCATTTTATGGATTTGCACAAACACCACACCAGTTACATGCAACTATATTGCCATGAGCAGCACTGGTGTTAAACACATAAAAATGTGCAGGTGTGAAGCTCCCACTTTGTGGTGTTTGTGATTTTGGTGTCCTTGAGCAGCTTGTGTGTGTGTGTGTGTGTGTGTGTGTGTGTGTGTGTGTGTGTGTGTGTGTGTGTGTGTGAAAGAGAGAGAGCACTAAGACTGGTCCTGCCGGGTTTCCTCCTCAGGTACACTGTATCTAATCAACCAAACCTTTCTGTAGCAGCTTTATCTGTTACTTTTAGTTTGTTCAGTTTCTGCTTCCACTGGCCCTAAGGCTTAAACTGTTTATTTAGTCACAGCGGCTGATAAATTCTGAGCTGAATACACTCCAGTAATGAAGCAAGCAAACAGGGCCTCCACAAGCATGCTGTTTGAGCAAAACAAACTGTATAAACACCATATACTTTGTCTCAACAAGAATGCTTAAGGATAGAATGAGATTTCAGAGCACAGATGACAGTTTGTTAAACTCAAGTTGGAATTGACAACATGTCTGTCTCATAGCTCAGGTCCAAGGACACTGGCTGGCACAAAGAGTGGCCTCCAAAGAGGTTTGCAGCTGGAAAGGTACCAGCTCTGTTATGTAACTCCCATCATAGGCAGTGATCTTGTCATACTAACAACTGTGAAAGCTAAGCGAACTGTCAGTCCTGCATGGCTGTGATGTCATGAACAGCAGGTGCTTTGAATCCATCTGGGGCAGAGAGAGAAAAACAGCCAGTCCATTAAAATCCCTGACTCGTCATAAAAAGAAGAGGGAGGTGAAGAGGATGAGATCTGGACAATTAGTCAGTTTTTCCATTGGAGCAAGGCTGGCTGTCTGAAAGAAAAACAAGTGTGGATGTCACATTGGGCCATGGTGACAGCAGGGTGACCTTTGGCTGACAGCAGACAGTGTGATAGAAAGGCTGCGTATTATTGCCAGTGTGTATTAAAGTCGGCACGTACAACTCAGTGTGTGTGTGTGTGTGTGGGTATATGTCTGTTTCTGACCCTTTATTTTATGACTCAAGATCTGAGTCAGTGACATGGGTGAGGAACAGGCAGCTTTGCGACAGAGGAGTCCAGCTCTGTGTTGGCAGGGGGAAAGTGTAGTGCTGAGAGTGTCTGACACACTGAAAATGGCAGTTCAGCTCCAGAGCAGAGAAGTCGTCTTCCCACTCCAAGCCTGCATGCAAAATCAACCAAACACACAATTAATGAAAATGAACTGCCTGCAGCATCTAAAACATGAATGTTTGCTAACTTTCCTAGAATTCTGCTCTAATCTTGTTATATTGTCAGAGGCCAGAGAGGATCGTGTCACAGTGAGTTGAAAATAGTTTTTATTCACACTGTCGGATACATTTTAGCATCAATTTATGTTGTTACTACTTCTGCCATAATGTCTAAGCAGCATTTTACAGTTTATTTGGTTGAGGTGGAGCTAATTTAAAATATTTGACCTACTGTTGGATAATTTAATTTACAACTACGCATTAATGAAGGTGAGCAAATACTTGTACTGAGTACAAAGAGGTTTGAAACAGAAATACACAAGTAAAGTACACGTTCCTCTACCTCTAAATGTACACAGTGCACTGCAAAATGGTTGGCATTAATGTTAATGGATAAAGCTGGTCATAGTCTATATTAATAGTATTTTCAACACTCCCCATACAATATGTCACCCAGTGCAGCAGTGTGTTTCACCCAAGTGTTCTTAATTGTTTTTGAAAAACAATTGAGGCACAAACAAACAAGTTAATCCAGGCCTGACAGACATTAACAGTGAGTGTTGAAAATCCTGTCATTATAGAAAATGACCAGTGTTTTCCTTTAACTATATATCAAAGGAAATAATGGGATAAAATGTGCAAAGGGACTGGTATGGATCTTTAACATAGTACCATTATCTTCTAATGTGACATCTGGTAGGCTGCAGGAACAGCTGCTTGGCAGAGATGTGTGCAGCTCAGCGGGCAACTCAGAGGGCAACTCAGAGGTGGGACTCTCCTAAAAAGAATAACAAATAATTGTTAGTGGGTTGTTAAGAGCTGTGGTGTGGATTAGTAGAATGATCGACATTTAACCCTCATATCCTCAGTGGGAAACAAAACCTAAAACCCACCAAGTTACAGTTTACACAGCAACAGGAGACCAGTACCTGATCAAACAGGTAGACCATGACATCATCATCAAAGGACACTGTCTTCTTCAGTTTCTCATTCCTGTTCCTTCTAGGTAGTACTCCTGGATGACTGCAGTTTTGACAGGCTTTTAAAAGGCTTTTAACATTACCTACAGAGAATCTGTCTTTGTTAACCGTTTCACTATGATCATCCACGAAGTTGCTGCTGTTGGGATCACAGGGCGAGTGGGTATTGGAGTTTTTCATGTCACTTGACACATTGTAGTTGTCACTGACATGGCAGCCAGTATTCCCTATGAATGATCTACAATCCTGAATGTAGCATATGTCACAGAAAATGATAAAGTCGTGCTGATCCATTGTAACAGTATCCTGCCGGGTCACCATATTGAAATCCTTTGTGATCAAACTGAAACTGTCCTGCATATTTAAAAAATGTCTTGTCCAGGGGGCCTCCATTGGGGAATCTGTGACAAAAGAATCTAGAAAAGTAAATGGGGAGTGTTGCACAGGCTCTTCCAGAAGACAAACAGGTTGAGGAGAGAGAGAAAGATGTGGTGAACGTGTTACCACATCAGTGTTCCTCCATAACTGGAAGACTGGGTTTCCTCTTCGGTCAACAATCGGCTGTGGTTCTTCATCAGCTTGGATGATCTGACCTGAGGATAATCGCAACTGGAGCTCTTCATCCCTGTATGAATGAGTCACAGTGACTTAATAGCAAAATGTAATCAGATAAACAAGTACATGAAGTCAAACTAGTTATGGAGCATGTTATAAATTTAAGTATGATCTGCATAATTACAATACATTAAAACTCCTCTTATCTTTGTAGCATTGTCCATTCTTACTATTGGTAATAACTTTACTGACTAAGTGAATTGCTTAGATCTAGAAACACAGAGAAAAGACTTCTGAACATTAGTGTGCAGTGAACATGTGTGTTCAGACTATTAGGCTATAGTTCAACTAGGTTATTTGAACATGAAACCAAATTAGAGCTGTAGATTTATTACCCACCTTCCATTGTAAACATCACAGTTGGCAGTTTGTGCATATGCACAACAGGGTAATATAATCTGGCATGTTTCCAACCTATTATTATTATAAATCATAGCATATACAGTACAGATCATGTGGCAATTACCAACATAAACTTAAGAACCTTAACTTAAACCTGTCTTTAGCCTAAAAAAAACCTTTGTGGTTGGTAGAGTTCACTCACTAGTGCTGGGACTGAACCTTTGAGTAATATCCTTTCAACACAGTTAAGCAAATATCAGATTTGGGCACTTAGACCAAAGATGCAGGCTTTGTCTAAAAAGTGATCTCCTCTGACCCACAAATGTAATTCCATTTCAAGGTCTGCTTTGGTTTTCTTAATCAGCTGGTCAGTTTTAGATGTCAGCTGTGTCAATGCACAGACAGCTCCTTAGAGTTCGTCAACAACAGGATGTACTAAAACTGAGTTGTCAGCCTTCCATTGGCTGAAACATGCACACAAACACACACGTTATTTGGCCACTCAGTCCTGAGCCTGAATAAATATCAGGGTCCATCCATCCGCAAGGATCAAAGACGCAATAGGAAACTTTCACCGTTCTGCAGTAACCAAGCAACCGCTGGATGAGTGACTCAGGAAAGGAAGAGAGGAGCTGACTCACAGCGACTGTGACGTAAAGGAGGTAAGAGGACACACACAGAGGCACGCAAACACACATGTATGGTCTCACACACGCACATATGCAGCAGGCCATGAAGCCTGTAGTCTGCCCTGTTTCAGATAAATTTGCACTTCAATGTGTAACAGGTGGAGGGGTTCAGGTGATGATTTTTCCAACCCACTACCACATTCACATCAAACATTGCTATCAATCATAGTGATACAAATCAGGCTGATACCGTTTCTTGAGTTTTTTGTCACTGCATCTCCTTTTAGAGTGCCAGTTCAAAGCATCTAGTGAAATCACCAGTGCGGATCCACCACTGAAGCACTTTAACTCTGTAGAAATAAAGACAGGAACATGGTTATAAACTGACATGCGTTGCATTGAAATGTTGCTGCATCATGATGCTGCAAAATGTGTTGAAACAGTCTTAATCTCTCTGCATTCAGCATGCATGACACCAGCACATTTCTCTTCCTACCTTGTATTCTGTCAGCCCTACTCATTCCTCTGGCATTTACCACATGACAGAAAGCTCAGAAAGGACACCAAAGGAGACCAGCTGAACATATGGATAGAGAGAGTGATGCACACAAAATGAGATGGGGCACCAGGCAGCGAGATCAAGACTGAATGAATGAGGGACGAAATACAGGGAGCAGATCAGAGCAGATGGGGAGGATGAAAGTAATGGAGAGGAAGAGATAAGAAAAGATGTGAGGGCAGAGGAAGGACAAAGAGCTCACATATACAGCACAGTCCCTGGAGACTGCAGGGCTTTGTGCAGCAGTAGAGTGAAAGATGGGGATCAATAACTTCCCTAGTCCAATCTAACCCAGCTATCTTACTGACAGAGAAATAACAGCAATGTGGATAAAACAGTGACAAAAGCAATGCTTACTGTACATTTTATCAAATATACATACAGCATTTTATTGAAACACCACTGCGGTTTGTTTGATTTTGGCAAACTTTTAATATGAATAAATGAAAGGTTTGTCACAAAATAAAATGTCCACCATTTAAAAAGAAAAGTGAGAACCTGAAAACTATTCATAGCACAGTATCTTTTTGTGCTTGGTCAACAAAATGCACAGATAGATTACTAAACAGGTCCACCTGGCAGAGGCCCGGGGGCACAAGAGGTCAGACAGGCCTGAGCCAGAGTTTCTGTATAAAGTGGCAGTTAATACTTCTTGTTTGAAAATTATAGAACTTGGTTAAAACACTACAAATATCTAAAATCATCACAAATAGATGCAAATTAATCAGAAATAGGATCAAAATGACCACAATGAGATTCAAAATTTCTTCCAAGAGACCCAAAACAATGACAGATATACAAAAAATAACAATACGAGTATACAAAATTACTGCAAAGAGAGAGAGAACCACCAAAAGGAGATGGAGAACAAATAAAAAGATAGACTGAACAACTGATGATCCTGCATTGAAAGGGTGGGGAGCCTTTATCAGTTTGTGCCCAGGGGCCAACTCTCTCTTAATCCATCCATGACTAAGTGATAATATATTCAGTGACTGGATCCAGAAAAGACTGCATTTTAATGCTTCTAACAATCTGTACTGTTGATACATTGTCATTAGACTGATACAATATAATCCATGTATCCATTAGCATACAACCACTATTAATGTCTGGGCCCATTTGACAAATCTAATGACTGTGTTTCTCATCTTAATTTGTCCTTGTCTATTTTTAATTTAGAGCTGAAATAAGTGCAGTTTATAAGAAGACCACAGTGGTATCTGATTGTGTTTGTGATTTATGGGCTAAATGCTTGGGAAGCATTTAGTGTATTTTATATTTGTATGATCTCAACAGAAGCAGCAGTGAACATTAGCCTCCTCTAGAGGTGAAAAGCTGAAGAGCAAGCAGCCTTCAGCAGCACTAAGGCAGAACACAGAGGAGGCCAGAACCATAAGTAAACTAAACTCCTGCCTAGGGCCACCAGAGGGCACCCAAGACTGCTTGAACTGTCCCACATGTTTTTATTCTCCTTACCTCCAACTACCCACATTTATTGGAAGGACCTGCTGTTATAGTCCTCCCCCTGGCAACAAAATCACTGATGCTGGAGTTCTGCTTTACACACCCAGACAGCATCCTGATATTGTTCCCAGGAGGCAACAGCATCACCATGCAAACTTTGGTTCCCAACAGAGGGATAAGGAAGCAAAAAAAAGGAGAGATGGACAGATGGTGTTTCCGTTCAAAATCCCTTCATTAATTTTTCTGAGGCATTGTGTCACCAAGCAACCTGCACCCGTGGATACATCAGGTCAGCCAGGACACCCTGCCTGCTTACAGTATGGTGTTTCAGTATAGTCAACTCTTTTTTCACAGGACTTAGCAGTACATTTGAGGATGAGATACATTGGCAGAGCCAAAAGCCTTCTCACTGGAATTTTCTGGTTCGTTTCACATTCAAGTTTCACACTGGACTAATGATTGATATCCCTGTATAAATTTCTCCTAATCTGATATCTTGATGACTTCTGTATCTAAATGCCAGATTAATGAGTGATGTATATTTGGTGTCAGGCCTGGCAAAGGAAGCCTAACAGTTGCATTTTATTATCTGATGCAGTTTATTTAAGCTGGGCAAAGCATTGAATATCATTTCTCTACTGGTCTGCTTTGCATCTTTGTCCAGATGTGTGCTGAAAATCACTGAGCTGGCTAACGTGGTTCCCAGCATACAGAGAAATCTGACCTCACAGGCATCAACAGGCTAAGTAGAATGAAGACTGCATCTGTTGTGCTAATGGGGATGAGAACACATGTCACCAGTCACCAAGCATAAACCCTAACCCTTCAACTTGAATTTTATAATGAATTGGTTTTGGGCTGCCACTGTGATTGAGTCATAATGTGCACAGTACATGCCAAAGAAACTGAGGAGCTATCCTTTTACACTGCAGGCGCAGAATCATCATATCCAGCCGACAGATGGCAAGTGACACCGAACAATCCGTGAGAGGAGGGTAATTGGAGATCATTGGGTTGCCAAATACACAGTGCTCAAGGCCTGAAGAGGAATATATGGAGCTCCAGTCTCTAAAGTCACTGTTCGACACCAGTGGAATGGGCCACTGCAAAGCACCATGTGTAATATGGGAGCGTGAAACATCCAGTCAGGGTACTAGTAGTGATGTTTGCAGCCTTTATTTGGACAGAGCAGGCTCCCATGGCTGCAGACAAGAGGGGCTGAGAGAGAGTGAAATAGGACACTAAAATAAGAGCAGACAGAGTAGTACATACTGAATGCCAGTGCTGTGTTCAGCTGCAGTAAAACTGTAATGACCCACGTTGTTAACATGCAATAGAAGCTAGTGGTTGTTTTATTATAATGGTATAAGGCAGAGTATGGCTCTGCATCTGGTCGTGAACTGAATGCCTGTTTCATTGCAGGACAGCACTAGCTAGGCCACACAGTGGTGAGCCATGCCATTATCTCCCTTTGTAGGGAGAGAATACTTTTCTCTTAGGTAGGAGATTATAGGGGCTCAAAGGTGCTTGCTGACTGAGTGTCTTTAATATGATGACATAAATGTGCAATCCATCTCACATTGCTGGCTGAGTAATTATGAGCCTCTGTTGACAGCAGTACACCTGCTTCTCCCCAGTCCAGACCTGGGAACAGTGCCCGCTTAAACTGGCACCACTGCTGCCAAGATCACTGCCATATTGGGTGAAGTGTGAGTGTGTGTAAAGAGAGGGGGAGTATGTGTTTGTATGAAAAGGTGTGGAGAGTGAGAAACATGGTGAGAGAGAGCTGTGTGAGGAGGGTGGGTCGGTGTTGGAATGATTTGGTGGGATGAGGGAATGTGGGCAAGGGGGCAAGTCCCGGTGCTATAAGAGCATGGATTATTACTCCATCGTTCACAATATAGAATCCATTTCATGACAGACATGCTGTTTACAAAGAGTGTGTCTGACCCGGCAGAACAAGACCCTGCTGAGAGATATCAATAAAACCATCCATTAGCAAAATGCACACAGTTACATCACTGTGATTACATACACTGACCAGAAGTCATGCTAGGTGCACAGTGTGTTCAATTAGGCTGTTTTCATTACGTGTCAGCGGGAATGTCACTGCCACTATGACACCGCAGTCAACAATAAACATGAATAGCACGTATACGCAGGATGATGGATTAAAATGTGAACACTTTATCTTATTTGTGTGGACTTTTGTTTCAGCAGTGACATTTTGAGTGTAAAAACGTAATGTAAGTAACTTACATTATTATTTGTCTTAATAAAAGATCCTAAGTTCAGCAAAAAGCAATGACAAACTGTTTTACTGAAGTAAAAATACTGCTAAGATGCTTCAAATAAAGTTCATGTAAATAAAAATGTTCTAGCAGACAACATAGGTTTTAAGCTACAGGATAATCACCTTTATTTGGTCAAGTATGTTACACACAAGGAATTTGTTTCCGGGACAGAACCAAGGCAGCCATCTAACACCAATGGCTCTAACCATCAGGGGCAACTTGGGGGTTCAGTGCCTTGCCCAAGGACACTTCAACACGTGGACTGCAGGCACCATAATTTGAACCTCCAACCCTCTGGTTGGGACACTACTGCTCACTACCCACTGAACCACAGTCCTTAAACATTAAAGCTTCACTGCTCCAGGTGAGGCTTGAACTCACAACCTCGGCATGGCTCTGCAGGTCACTGTCTTATAAGTACCGCGCGCTGACCGATTGCGCCACTGGAGCAACACACCAGGGTGACATAAAACAAAGGGTTGCTGCAGTATAGATGGAATTTGTATAAATATATATTATTACAAACAGCAGGTAATACGCATGACAATTATTCATTTGTTTAAAAGCTTTTCTGCAACATTGCAACTTCTTTCCACCAGGCAGCAGCAGAGTATAGCAGTTAGCCTCAGTGGATGTAATATTGCTGGGGAAGAACACTCAAACACAAACTGTGAACCTTGTTAGCAAAACTGAAGGAATAGCTGTGATTAAGAAAAAAAGTATTTTCTTAAAGTAAAATTAAAGATATTTCATTTTCCTTTGTATTCTCTGTATGTTACTCTGAAAACACCTGCTGCACTTGTGTTAGTGAACATGCAGCAAAGAGCAAGAAAGAAACACTATATCATTCTAGCAGTCTGGTGCCATGACTGCAGCCGTGTGTACGTAAACACTTACCTCATCTTGTCTTGTATTCAGGAGCAGCTAAGCAGGGTGAAATGATATTTCAGCAATAAATTTAACACACAGCCGCCACACGCACAAGTGAGGAGGAATTTACTTGAAAATGTCAAGACTGCTGGCAAGCAAAAGAGTGGGGAAAGTGTTGAAAAGCATGAGCATGGCCTCTCACTGTACAAACACATGGGCGCACACACTGGCTGAGACAGCTGTGTGTCTCCTTGATTTGATTTTGATTTGATTTATTCTTTCAAGCATGTAAAACAGTTGATATGACAACACACATAATTTTACACATAATCCAATTTGCTTATACCTAGTACATGCTTGAATGGAGTAGGAAGAAGTCCTTGACTGGTTTAAAGTGTTTATGGGGAAGCTGAGTGCTGAATGATGGAGCTCTCATTTACACACACACACAAAGCTCTGATCAGATAAGAGTGGATTTGTTTCAGCAGCTAATCTCAAATGTGATGAAGTTTAAAGGGGCCTGTGGCATATACAGTACACAAATATCTTTATTTGGGAAAAGGACTAGTTCACAAGTAAGAGCATGAAACACGAAACACTGATTTCATGTCAAACATGTACTTTTATATCTTATTTATTTATATTGAGACTTGTTTTAGCTTGTTAATCTCAGTAAGTGTCACTACTTTTATATCTTATTTATTTATATTGAAACTTGTTTTAACTTTGTTAATCTCAGTAACTGTCACATGGACTCTGTAACAAAGCAGAGGGAATATATATCAGCTTCTGTAGTTCGATGTCCTGTACATCCATCTGTTCAACACATATATAAGTCAAGACCTAGCCTCTGTCCCTGACAAGACTATCTTTGCTGCAATCACCCACTATCCTCTCCTCAGAGACACTCAGAGGAGTCCCTACCCCACCAACCCCCTTATCCTGCCCTGTCCCAGTGCAGATCACTTGCATCCTAAGTTGGTTGGTATTCATCAGGCCCCGATCCAGTTGCACAGCAGCAACCACATATAAGTCAAAAATGTAATGAGTCAGGATTGCCCCTTAGTTACGGCTCAAACAGATAAGAAATAGAGTGGCCAGAACCAAAGGCATGAAAATGATTACATTTCAAAGCACAAATCTAATCTTTGCAGTTAATCCATCATGGCTGAGGTTCCTCTGGGCTCCGATAGACCACAGCACCACATTAGTGCTGCCTTCCACCAAACGCTTCTGTGACTGAAAGGGTTTTTCAACTTTAAAAGGGAAGTTTGACATTTGGGAAATGTTTTGTTTTTCTAAAGTTCATATTACTGTCATGTCTATATGCTAAAGATGAATAATGTGGCTTAGCATACACATACTTGGACTGGAAACAGCTAGAGGGGGTTACGTGCTGGAGAAGAGCTTGGCTGAGACCAGTACTTCCCTGTAGTCTTCCCTAGTTGTCTGGCAACTGGTGCTGGCCAAGAAAAAATTTAGCATGTAATTCCGCATAAAATGGAAAATTGTTGTTTATATGCTTTGGTTTTTGTACAGATTACACAAACAAGTTAAAGTGTCTTAATTAGCACTTTAGAAATGCAAATTTTTCTACATTTGGACAAAGCCAGACTAGCTGTTGGCTCAGTCTTTATGCTAACCAGGGTTAGTTAGCTTGGCCGCCATTTGTAGCTTCATATTTCATCATCTCTAGTTAACAGTTCTGCTGTTTCTGCCCAGTCAGGGAGCTATTCTAATTTAGATGGCACTGAGCCTATTTACCTCATGTCTGAGAAAGTGTCTGGACACTTTTAGGCAATAACCTAATTGGAGTTCATTGGTTGCTAGCTGTACTACTGTAGTTAGGTGTGGAGTGGTTAAGATTCCACTTCCTCGTTGACCTTTTTCTCTTCTTCTCATTCACTCTCATTAGTCTTAAAGGGCTACTTATACTTTTATTTCTGGTTTAGTACACATCCTTTATCATACTTTTACTTTATTTGAGTAATATTTAAGTCAAGGTCTTCAGGGGTTTTAGACCAGAAGTGTCCTCTTGCTGAAAGTTAGGTGAAAAACCCAACAAATATAATTTTCCCTTGGATGCTTTCTTACCCAGTTGGTGTGGATAATTTAAAAAATCATTTTATTTTGGTTTTACTGTATTTAACCTTTGTTTATCCAGGGAAAGTCCCTTAAAATCAAGGACCTCTTTTACAAGGGCACACTGGCAAAAATCACAGTACACTATGAGACGGAAGCCTGACTCTGACTCAGCGTGTTTGTGATTTTTTTTTTCTTCTTATTTTAGTGAGGAGAAAACCAACAACACATACACACACAGTAGATACTTGCACTGTCCAATGCAAAGTCACATGCACTGACATACTGTATTGAATATATAGACTAAATAGATTCATGCTGCAATCAAAAAGTTACATCCAGTCATGTCAAAGCAAAATTAGAGCAAGCAAGAGTGTGACCTGCACACAGAAACAAGAAAAAAGCGCAGATACACCGAATCCCACATTTACGCTTGAAAGATTGGTGCTAAAACAGAGGACCGGAGTAAAACTGTCTTCTGTTGCAACATCTTCTGAGACTGGAGGGTGGTGGTAGGTGGAGCTTAAAGTGTGAGCTGGAAGGGGTATCTTAGGGCATCTTGAATTTGTGAGTGTCACTGGCATACCCACATCACAGATGGTCAGACAGAAATAGACGAAGCAGTAATGGAGCCCAGCAAAAAGGTGGAGCACCCACTTTGCTCAGAGATGCATGGATAGATGAACAGGGTCCTGGTGTTCTTCTGTCTTTGTCAGTTTGTGAAGCCAAACAGGCATTACAGGGGAACTTAAAGATTAGTTTAGAAGTCCAATCTGATAACATTATCATTCACCAGAATTAAAATGGTTTCCAAGATAAGTCGTTTCTGCTGAAGGCATCATGTGTGTCTGATATTTGACACTCTTTGTCCATTTTTTATATGTAAAGTATTCTTTCCACACAGTGAAGGTTAAAGGTAAGATCAGGGAAAGGGTAGGATAAAGGTTTTCTCAAATATCGCCTTTACAAAAATCCTATTTATCCATGTTCTTCCTGTTCCTCTTCTTTATCATAAACACAATAACACTGAAATTGTATGATTCCCAGTGGTGATCCTGAGCCGCATGGCCTGCTAACTAAAGTCAGCACATTTTAACCTGAGTCTCTCAATGTCTGTCATTCACCCATTTACACACTAACTGATGGTGGCCATGCTGTCACAAGGCACTAGTCTGCTCAAGGGGAGCCACCCAGTAAGCTAAATATCTCACAAAACCCTACAAAGCCAGTCTCTGTGTGTCTATCTACTGTATTACACATACAACAACACAGTTCCTGTAGATAAACAACCTACTATCTGTTTTGGTTATACGTACCTCTGCTGGTTTCCATGGCATGTGCTGATCATCCCGTTGCTCATCATGTCCCAACACAAACTGAAGAACAAAATAAGAAAGACTGTATGGCATGCATGTGAAAGTACCTTGATCCAGGTCCAGGCCAAGTCCAAAAACTGGCTTGTGTGTACTCACAAAATGTATTATTTGCTTTAAACCTATCCCAGTAGCACATCAGGCTACTCCCCGTAAAGTTTGCTGACATGGTACAAGATTTTTCTAAGGTACAGGAGACAAAAAAAAGTTTTCTATCTTCAGAGATCGATAATCTTCGGTTGCCCGTACAGCTTCCCATACCTGTCGAGCAAAAAACACCAGTGATAACAAACACTCTTGAATCAGTGCGTGCACAGGAGTGTCACCTCATCCCCATCAGTCTCTCTTTGTGTCTGTCTTTTCCTCTCTGTCCCATCCCCCTCTTCCTCCATTCATCCACCACTCCATCACACAGGAAGCCTAGCTTTCCTGAAAACAAGCATCAGCGCATGGAAAGGGACAAGGCTGAAAGGGGCAGGTACGTGACAGGGAGAAGAGGATGTTTTTGACATTCCTCTGCCCCTCTGGTTGCTGCAAGCCTCAGCGTAGTCCATCCTGAGGAAGTCAGGCTCACGTCACTATGGTCAGGCCTTGGGCCACACGTGCTGCCCAACAGGGTCGGTGTGACGCAATAACCCCAGCCCTGCAGCTTGCAGCCCCTCACACATGAGACCCATAAAGTCGTGTGGGCTGAAATTGTGGGAAACACTGCATTACAAATCATAACGCCATTAACAAGCAGGATAGTCTGCACAAAACTGCATGGCTTGCATTTTGGTTACAAAAACAAAAGAAGTCAAATGTAGTGTAGAGAGATCTGCTCTGAGGAGGGGCTGTGTTTTGCCTGAACAAAAGCACAGAACTGTGCCAGCTAACCACGCTCCTCTTCCTGTGTGTAACAGTTGCATGAGAATTCCTCAGCAGGTGGTTTTCCAGAGTCCACCTGACTGATTTATAGTGTAACAACAGATGTACACATACTGTTCCACTAGTAGATGCTCTATTGCATTTGAAGTTTCATTAGGCAAGATGTGCATCAAAAAAGTATATAAACCAGTAATTTAAATGTTTCATTCTAAAGTATTATATATCTGTATCTATTTAGAGCAACAGTGTTATAAATGCGTGATAAAAATGGTTTCACCTTAGCTATAATGTAAATCGTTACTAAATTGCACAAGATATAATATATAAGATAATAATAAGTAATAATGTAATGCAAGTTACATAGGTGCAAAGCTATTCAAATTAACTTCCACGAAAAGGGTAGCACCTGCACATTTTATTTGACTGGGCATTGTATTTTGATATGTTTGATAATGTGTTTATCATCTATTTAAATGGCACTCAAACCATAAGACAACACAGCTCTTCATATGCTAAATGTAGCATGTGGGAACAATGTGAGACACAGCCTGACAGTGACAGAGGCCATAATAACAGGATGTTTACAGCCTGCGGAAACGCTGCCAGGAACAACCACAAGCAGGCACCAACTGTGGCTGGAAGCACGTGCAAAGAGATAACGCAGGCCAACCACGTTCCATCCAGTTGCACCAAATATAACCTCAATGACTACTATTTTGTTTCCAGATGCTACCTGGCTGGAGTCTGGTAGACTTGAATTCACTATGACCACTGAACCCTAGAGAAACTACTCTAGAAAACGTTCCCCCGTCTTTCAGCTTCCTTTTTGGACACTCACATACAGAGTGATGGCTAAAGTGTTGAGCTGCAGGTGACAGCATGTTCACAGTTACCAGATGTTTCTTTCTGCCCCATCAATGGTCACATATTGCACCAGGCTGCAACATCCACCACTACAGTCCTTACCACTATGGCTGTTACTGACTTTTTAGCAGCTTTGGGCATCACTTCAGCTGTTAATACTTGCAGTGGTGAGGGTATGATTGTCTTTTAGTGTGTGATTAAAATGAATGCTTTTACACTGAGAGCTGCTCTTGTCACAGGATGGAAGGCCACAGAGGTTGCATAATACTTTGAAGAATGGTACCTACTGGTGTGACTGCAGATGAAGGGGGGCCACAGACAGACTTTTAGTCCAGAATGGTACAGACACTTGGGTCATGCAGCTGAGCTGTGGGCCTGTAAAACCAGGGATGGGAGGACTGAGTATCTGCAGCTGCTGGTCTGAGGAGACTGAATTTGTGCAGTGAGTGACCCAGCAGAGGAACTCTTTCTGTGCCAGCACATTTACAGGACTTCTGTCAGTGAGGCATTTTCATTTGCAGCTCTTTTTCAGATGACAAGCCACTGCTCTGCTGGGCAGGGGAGAGAATGGGTCGCTTCTATTTCTGCTGCAGCATGAGGTAACAAACTCCCAATCTGGAGCTGGAGCACTAGAGAAACTACATTCATTTCTTCTCATAAATTAGTTCACATTTCAGTTCATTCTAATGTAACTGCTATTTTAAAACTTGCTCTAGAAGCAGTTTGAGTATGTTCATCATCCCTACATTAAAGTAGGGGAATCTGAAGATTGGCATTCTAATTATTCCACAAATTTATTACAAATTTTAAATATAAAGTTAATATGAAAGGGGAGCACCCCTCGCAGTCTCAGGTTACAGACATTCATAGCCTAGCTTGATAGGTTTCTTCCCTGCTGTGAGATATTTGTAATTTAAGCCTGATATTGAAGAAGGGCAGGAATAGTTATAGTATCTATGGCCAAGTTGCTGGAGGTGAGAGACCTCATCTGACCACAGCAAATGTTAAAGGCCAGAGATTACTTTTACAGAGTTTTAAAAAGGGTTTCAAGTCAAAAAGAAACAGAATGACATGTTATAAAATGCCAGTGCCCATTAGAATAGACACCTGAAAGAGTGGAAGTGAAAATGAGATATTTAGGCTTTTACAGTTTGTGCTGCAGTTGAGAGCTTGTATGTCCACACTGTAGGTATAAGGCCAATATAGCCAATATAACAGAACAATGAAATGTTTTTTTTATAATTCCACATTGGTCAAAGGACCACCTCACCACTGCCACCTGATGTATAATAGGAACACAGCATGCAGCCCTGAACCAGTTCCACATTTAATTTCATTGTTCAATGCAATATGACACACAGTGCAGCGCTGAGGTGTTAAGATAATGTTGGTAATGCTGACGATTATGATGATGATATGTTATCACCTTTTAGTGTTTCCTAAAATAGTGTTACAAATAGTTTCATCACCATAAGGAGAAGTGGTCTGAATTGGTGTATGGTGTCCAAAAATAAAATCTGGCATACAGGTCTTAGCTGCATGTACTGTTAGATTAAAGCATTTCAGTCAATCCCTCTGGCTCTCCCTCCCCCTCTCCCTGCCATTACTGTGTATTTCATAATCTTTGTTTCATATCATTCATATTATATTAGTTTATTTATTTTTACACCGTTTGACTAAGACTTTACACCAATAAACCATAAACTTTTCAATCCATAATCATGCAAATGATGTACTTGTGAAAATACTTATTTAAGCCAAAATGAGATTAGTCATACAATCCTATGTTTGTAAATGCGGCTGTTATGTTAAGCCAAACTGATACTTGTTCATTATTATCCATTCGGTCTCAATAACAAAAAAAAAATGTACACACAAAGACATGCATCTTTGGAACATACCGTTTTGTTTAACTTTGTCAAAATTACCACTGACTGTGATAATTAATCACAAAGTCGACTTTTCTGACTCTGGAATGTCAATGAAAACGAGTTTGTGTGTAATTCACATACGTAAAGTGTCTGCAACAGAATTATCCAATAAGACCAATAAGAAAATGAGTTGTCGTATTAACTTACACTGTATGTACCTGCTTGTTCTGTGTGATAATTTATGATGACAGTTACTCACCATTTAAAACTTTACTCCACTTCTTTGCTCCATGGTCCCCTGCACAGTCACAACAGGGCCGCAGAAGAGGTTTCACCCAAATCAGCAGCATATATTATTAGCCCTATGCAATATCAAGCACTTTTGCATAGGCCTACACTTAGCCTACCATTTAAGCATCTTCATTTATGTACATATAAATAGAACAGCTCTGTCTACTGGACACATTTTCATCTGACTGCGATGACTGCTTTGCACATAGTTTCTATTACACAGCCTATGCATCATATTTCGCATGACTGAAGGTATATAAGCTTGTGAGAGTCACTGAGGGGGTTTACTGCAGTGAGCAGACTCATCAGAGCGAATCCACTCTTGTCTTAACCCTGTCTTTAACCCTGAGGTGAGTTTCAGTGAAGAGCTGCAGACCTGCAGCTGAGACTCCTCCCTGATTTACAGAGAGTTTCAGAGCTTCAGCTTCATGCAATGGGATCTAAATCAACGAGAAGGCCACACACGGCCAGAATGTGAACATCAGAAACTAAGAGTTTGACTTTGGACTAACTGAGGAACTAAATGAGGAAAACTCTATTTGCCAACCAACCACACCCTGCAAAGGATTTTTGAGCTTTTGGTTTGGAGGGATTGGTTTTGGATAAAACTCGGACTACCTTTTCTGATCCTTTGTGGTTTGGAATACACAAATAGAGGGACTGTGACATATACTGCATGGCATGATGATGATTTCATGCAGTAACTTAAATTACTCTGTTCTAACAAGCACAGAGAAAAATTAGCAGATCTTATGTTTAGATGCAAAGTAAAACTCTCTTCCTGTCTGATTTGCTACAGTTGAACTGATGAACTGATGACTTGTCCTCTGTTCTCCTCCCTCAGTTAAAAATGGCATTTGCCGGAATTCTGAACGACGCCGACATCACTGCAGCCCTTGCGGCTTGCCAAGGTAAACCCCCACAAACAAAGTAGGAGAGTCTACCCGGTAGCTACACATGCACAAAAAGCATGCACTTAATCAAATCTGCTTTGCAAGAGAAATACGTGCATTTTTGCTTTACTTATCGGTAGCTGAATGTCAGAATTCAGGTGCAGAGCCACATCACTTGATTATAGTGAGATGATGATCTTGTCTGCATTGAACACTGCAGAGTTAAGCTTTTTTCTTTTTTAAACATTTTGGGCCTCAATGGCATACAGAATGTAATTTTATAGTATGTTTCTAATTTGTATGAGAATAACTCCTGTAAGAAGTCCATCTATGCAAGTTAAACTAGAAGCAGCTGCAAAACATGTGTGATTGTGTGTCATATCTCTGGTGTCTGATGCAATCACTACTCCATCTCCTCACAGCTGCTGACTCCTTCAAGTACCAGGACTTCTTTGCTAAGGTCGGCCTTGCTGGCAAGAGCGCTGATGACATCAAGAAGGCCTTTGCCATCATTGACCAGGACAAGAGTGGCTTCATTGAGGAGGATGAGCTGAAGTAGGCAGCCTCTCTTAGATTTCATCTCAAGCTATTCAGGGCTTATGTAGCACAAGCATCATCTTTCTTTTGGCCCACAGTGAACTCAGAGTGATTTCAGTGGCCTACAGTATCTGAGAGGTGTTCTCCTCCAGAGTAACTCTATGCCAGCTCTCATTTCTCATGTTGTAGGGTAACATAGAGCACAGGTGAAAGCTAAATACAGTGAGTAAAATCCAGTCAGTGAGCAGTGAGGCTTTGGGGATTTTCTGAAAGAAGATCTTTATACAGTGAATTCAAAACCAGACAGTTTAGTGAAAAGTGATCTGGCTGAAGCAATGTTTAGAAAAAAAGTTCATAGTTCATAATCATTCTTTCTCTCTGGCTGTCCTCTCCAGGTTGTTCCTACAGAACTTCTCTTCCAGTGCCAGAGCTCTGACTGACACTGAGACCAAGGCGTTTCTCAAGGCCGGGGACACTGATGGCGATGGCAAGATTGGAGTTGATGGTAAGATTTTTTTTTTAACCACAAGAGGAACTTTATGTGGAATTATAACCATATTTTTTGGTTTCAAATTGATGTTAAACCCTGCACAAGAGCTTAGAAAACCACTGGTAATTCTTTCTTTGTTTCCCTGCAGAGTTTGCTGCCTTGGTCAAGCATTAAATGAACAAACTGACCAACGTTTCACTATTCTAAAGGAACAACTTGAGCCAAGACATATGCCTCCTCTCTTCTTCTTCTCTTCCCTCTCACTCTCTCCCAACTCTCCACATCACTTTTATACACTTGACCTTTCACCCCAGGCCTTAAACAAACTCTCTCTGGCCGTGCTCACCCATTTGCTGTCCATGATGAATGTACATGACTAAGTGTATCGCATGGTTGACTTGTCTTTCTTTCTCTCTCTCTCACTGCTGTCGTCATTTTACTATGTGAGTTTTGCTTACTGTGAGATCAGCGATGATGCACTTTTATGGGAAACGGACTGATGATGAGAAAACAATAAAGATTCTTTTTCAATAACACAAGTCTGACCCTGGTCTTCAGTGCTCAGTTGTCAATCAGCAAATCAAAGAACATTAAAAAGAAAAAGGTTTATGCAATATCTCCTTAAAATGCAATAGAAGGCCTCTTTACCTGTTACTACAAATGACAGTAAAGGTAACACACTGACTAACTGCTATAAGCTACTGGTCACACCATGCCAAGTAAACCTCTGATGGAGCTGAACTGAGAAATTCAAATTCTTTCTCTTTTTCTTTGAAATTACTCTTTTCACTATTAACAGACTCTTTGTTTACATCCAGCTGTGGCATAAAATTTCCCCTTAAATTCTAGACTGATGCATAAACACACTGGCATGCTCACTAACTGCCCCAGTTAAATACGGACATGTACTGGTGAAAGTAGCCACTAGATGGAGCCACTGATCTGTCAGTGAGTGGCAAGGGTTTCGGTTTTACATTGCATACATAGAGACTTGGATGTACAGTAGATTTGGCTTCTGACCTTCAGGGGAATTGGGCAGGTTTAGAGTAACACCTAGCCACGAGACTCCTAACAAACACTTCTCTTACTTCTCTTGGTTCTCGTTACAAAATGCACCCTTCCTCTCTCTGCTAACGCCATTAGTGCTGATTGGATTCACCAGAGACACTGCTGTGTCCGAGGGTTTGAAGGGCTTCCCTAAGCAGACAACAAAGTCATCATTTTACAGTGGACGGTTTCCACGGTGACCAGGTGCTGCACTAAATAACTCCCACACATCTGTCCCCTCACTGCACAGAAGATCATGTGGTTTATAAGGATGTGTGTTACAGCACTGCCAGTTGTTACTAAAGAAGATTTTTGATGAAGTTGTGTGGTTTAGAAAATTCAAATTATCCTCCATGAAGTATTTCCTTTTTTAACGTGTCTGTGGAGATGCTCGTTCATCCAAAGCGCTAAATGTTGGCAACCGAATTTGTCCAAGGTTCTTGAAGACCTTTCACCTCTCATCCCATCCGAGAAGCTTCTTCAGTTCTGACTGACTGGTAGGGAGACCCAAGATGTAGCACCAGTACAGTAGTTACTTGAGTGTATAATTACTTTCCAACACTATAAAAGACACACAAAACTGTCAGACAATGAGGACTGGGGTCTTTCTTTTTACTGATAGAGCTTGTGTGATATCATTCTGATAGATACTGCAAAATTACTAATGAGTTTTACTGATAGAGCTTGTGTGATATCAATCTGATAGATACTGTAAAATTACTGATGACAATAACAATCCCTGCTGAGTCATAAGATGAGTTATGACCTGCTTCTCACCATGTTCGGAGCATATGAGAAAATGGGGCCTGATTCAGTTTGAGATGTCTATGAGCTTTTTCATGTACCTGCAGAGAGAAAAGGTGGGAGGGATGATGGAGGAGAGGAAAGGGCGGGAGAGAGACCAGTGTTACACAAGGGAAAAGTTTATTGGAGAAAGCCCACAGTGTTATGATACTAAGGGAGAAAGGCAGAGAGAGAGAGAGAGAGAGAGAGAGAGAGAGTGGTGTCTATATAAACAGTAAAGGTTAAATGGGCAGGTGAGGAAATTGAGAAGGAGGCTGCTACCTGGAGGAAAATTTGATCCTCAGACAGGGTGGAAACTGAAGCATCTGTCTGCACATCCTCCCGGCATTTATAAGACAGACCCAGCTCTCAGTGGCCACCACAGACTGATCTGCTGCTGCTTTGAGTCTGAACAGAGAGGAAACCAGACTACAGGTGAGTCCCACAGCTGCACGGGGAAGCTTTCAGTACAGGTGTTGGCCAGGTGCTGTTTTCACTTTTGTATGAATTTATTCCAGTTTTAGGCTATAAACTTTAGACTTATGAAATCTTTGTTAGCACTAAGAGGGATTTGTGTCTATATCCTCCATTAAAAGGACTGATAGATCACTAATATAATTTGTTTGAAGCTTACCAAACAATTATTCCAAGGCTATTCTGATAAGAAGATAAACATAACATAAAAACAATAAAGATAAAAACACAAGCTCATCTGAAACTAAGGCTTTAAGGAACGTAATATAATTATTAGGGAGGCTGGCAAGTTAAGTATTTTTAATTTTTGCTCAAGTGTTGAGGTTTCATCTTTTTATAATCACAGATTTAATTTTCATTCATCCATCATATTTAGGTACTTCTTTTTAATTTTGGTTGTCAAAATACAAGTTCTTTATTAAAAAATTAAGTAAGTTTGTGTATTTGTTTAGAGGATGTTCTGAAATGTTAATTATGATGTGAGGGGCTGTGTTTAAAAAAGATAAAGCAGATTATACACCCCTCCCAACCTCTGTCACTTTGCACAGCTACAGTAAAGTAACCAAAAGCAGTTCCATATTGTGATTTATTAGGCTGACAGGGGAAATCTGGTCAGAATGAACCACAAATCATAAGTTAATAATTAAATACAGGAAAATACTGGCAGTTTTATGTATAACACTGCGCCGTTTTTTTCTCTGAATGTCTCCCTCCATCATTACATGGTTCCTGATATCTCTCTTTTGTTCTGCAGCCAGCCACCACGCTTTGGTCTTTAGTTTGTTTCCTTCTTTATTCTGTGTTGCCTCCCTTGTGCCTGGGTCATATGAGGCAGTAGGTGGTATGGGTGTTTAAGTTTGCCAAAATACATGCATTTCCTGGTTTCTTCTGCTTTTTTTCCTGAAAATTCAAGTACATTTTCCAAACAACTGAAGTTTTGTTAGGATCATAATATTAACCTAGATCTGCAAATACAGCATGACACAATAATGGACTGAGTTCAAATCAAAATGTCTGAAGTAGGTGAAGGAAATGTGTGTCTCAAAGAAAGAGATAAAGAGTGAGTGTGTGTGTGAATGCGATTGTGTGTGTGAATAATTTACCAAGCTTTTCTTTTTACCCTGCAGAACCAACATGTCACTCACCTCCATCCTTTCAGCTGAGGCAATTGAAAAGGCTGTTAAGGACTGTGAAGGTAGCATTTCAGCGCGCACACACACACACACACACAAGTCCTGGACAAGCCACTGAAACCATTGTCCATTTGAACATTATCACAATATTTCCATGAAAACAAAAGCTGTAATTAACTTAATTAACACATAATAATGATAACATGCACAATAATCCTGGTCTGTAGTTCAGAAACTGACAGATTTACAATCTATTTCATTCAGTCACTCTCAGAACTCCTACAGAAATGTAGAGAAGCTTCTCAATAGCAATACTCTTTTCAGTATTGTACAATATCCTGTCCACTAATGTTATACCCAGCTTTACCTGAGTGGTGATGAAATCTGAATTTGAAAAGGTCTTTAATCATCTTCTCTGATTTAGTGGAGGCATGTGTCTGTTTGCCTTAAAAGATAAAAACAGGCAGAAAATCCCCCACCTGGACAGCAGCCATGTGTTGTTTTAATCTCCACATCAGCACCCAACCTGGTGAACCTTGTAGGTCGAGCTCTAGCCCCATTCTTGTTCTTGTTTTTATTGTTTTAAATTTATGGTTATGTGTATGTGTTTTCAGCACCAGACTCATTCTGCTGCAAGAAGTTCTTTAAGCTGTGTGGCCTGTCCTCGAAGACCCCCACGGAGGTCAGAAAAGCCTTCCAGATCCTTGACGATGACAACAGCGGCTACATCGACGAGTCTGAGCTTGAGTGTGTGACAAGACCCTAGAAAGTTCCCACCCATATGAGCTTTTGTTCCTTCTTTTGTAGCATGTGTTTGTACTGTATGTGTTTACAATACAAGACATCACACTTATTGTGAAAACACCATTAACATGCCTCCTAACAATCCACTATGGGCAAATTGTTATTGTTGTGTTATATAATTCACCTACTTTGCGTGTGTGTGTGTGTGTGTGTCTAGGTTTTTTCTGCAGCGGTTTGACCCCGCGGCACGGAAACTGACTGAAGCAGAAATCAAGAAGTTCATCTCAGCTGCTGATGACAGTGATGGCAAAATTGGAGTAGAGAGTCAGTATCTGATTTCTCTGATTGTATTTTTAAGCATTTTGGTGTAAGCACAAATTATTTCAGTGGTTGGATTAAATCACATAGGCACAGTGCTGCTTGATGCATATCTATGATTAGACAGACCATCTACATTTAACCAATGCAAACCTACCTACTGATCTATTCTGTGGAACATTGTAGCTGTAGTGCAGGTTCAAATGTGGCAAACTCTGTACTTTCTGGGAAAAAGCAAGCATGTTCACAAAATTTTAATTGTTAAATTATACTCAAGGTTTTCTCCCCAGATGCTGTTGCTCTTGGTTCTGGTCAATTAGGTTGAATAAAAGACATTAAGATTTAGACGTTTTGGATTAAAGAAGGATATAGTGGGATAAGGGACTTGGCTGATCAAAAAAAAAAAAAAAGATTTTAGCCTGTGTTTCTTTTTATTTTCCAGCAGTAGGTCAATTAAAAGTTCAGGGTTTATCTTTTGTCTATCTTCTGTGAAGCTGAATGACATACAAAGGCAAAGAGGTATGTTGATGTGAATTATTTATGCAGATGATTCATGGCAAATTTTATATGCTTTATTTTTTTAATAGAATTTCAGGCAATGGTCCTGTCCTGAGTGTTGCAGATAAGGAGAGAACTCATGTCTTCATCCACCTCTGGAGTCCTCTGATGCCACTTTCCATTCCCAGGGATTTCTTTTCTTTTCTACTCAATTATGTGCATGCAAACTTTTTTAAAATTACCTTTTGTCTACTTAAAGACATTGGGCTTTTAATTTGTCATTGCATTATGATGGTCCATGCTTTCTTGTCTACATACATTCCATTTCTGACAAAGAATGAGATAAATAAACATGTGGAAACACACATTTCCTCTTTAAACTCAGCACTTGCGATATGTGTCTTTTTTGTCAGTTAACTTCTTTGTAAGTGCAGTAAACAGAACAAACTAAATCAAGGCTATAACTGGTGTCATAATTATTTTCCTTTAAAACAGCACCAGTTTTTCATGGCTCTTGGCAATTGGGTTGTTCCACACATCTTGGAAAACTTGTCATAGATCTGCTGCGGATGTACTCTGTCTCAGACTGACTCCATAAGTTTGAGATCACAGCTCTGTTAGGGCCAGATCATCTTCTACACTAGGCATTGTTCTTCTTGTCTCTAAAGATAGTCTGACTGCATGTTTGGGGTCATTGTCTTGTTCTGCTGAATGAATTTGGGACCACTTGTGGTATTGATGCACAAGGATCTCAACAAGAGTCGCTAAAACTTTTGCACAGTATAGTGGTATGTAATTAAAAGCAAGGACAAACAAAACAAGGTTCTGGACAAAGTGAAATTGAAACCATGGAATTGTCTTAGTTGAGTTAAGATGAAAAAAAAAACGTTGGAGAAATTTATTCAAAATCCCTTCTTGGTGAAAATTAGCAAGTCAAAAAAACTGTTAACATCCGCACCTCCAACTAAATATGACTAAATATCCCCGCGATATTTCGAATGCCAGATACAATAGGACGAGTGTATTCACCCATTAAAGATATCATGGTGTTTTAATACACAGTTCATAAACCTCATGTTCCCTGTGGGGAGTTGGAACCTTTGGCTTGAAATCGATTTCACCCGAACAATAGGATTTGTAACACCACACTGTCAAAAGCAGGAAATGGAGTATGTAACGTTAAAGTATAATGCGGCATCTTTTGTTATTGGTCTCATTTCCTAATTAGGTGTTTTTCTTTACGCTATTTACAACCACGAGCCCCTGGACGTTTTGGATGAATATTTTCTAAGGTGGGTGTTACGGTCGTGTTATTTTGCTACGTATGGTTCACCGAGTTTTTCTCCGACTGGGTGCCCTACCGCTAGCAGAGCCAGTTAGCTAGCTAGCTGCTCTGTTTGACTTAACGTCGGCTGTTTTCTGACCTTGTCATAGTTAATGTTAAGCTGTTGAAATTAACAATTCACAGAGCTACAGTCGTTACCCGGTGTGTTGAATTTATTATATTATCGTTTCCAAAAACGGATAATGCATAAAGACATCGAGGCACGGGTACTTTACTAACATCAGTTTAACGACAGCAGTTCCGTTGCAAGGTTTACAGTAACAATAAATTATCATATAGGCTATGTACACAAAAGACAGTAACAAACTGAAAAACAAGTAAATATTGCTTAGTCTACCTAATAAGCCTAATATCTTGGCACATTCAGTTTTTGCATTCTTAATATAAATGCCTTCTGTGCTTACAGCTTTGACCTGATGCATGTTAGCTTTCCTCACTGTGTATGGACCCACCAGTTTGCAAGTAAATGGTTATTATTTCTATATATTTGTCTTCATTCTGCAGGGACACGGTATGCAAACCAGTCTGTCTCTGGAGCAGAGGAGATCCAGACAAAAGTTACACTAATGCTGATGATTAGGTAAAGAAGACTTGATTGTTATGATGCAAACGGACACTGATGCAACGTAAAAGAAATCAGCTTGCATCTGTGTTTCATCTCTACTGCTTGTATACGGAACAGCCCCAGAATGGCCTCAGGAGTACAAGAGAAACAGTACACACCATCTCTGCTCAGTTTTTTTGTTTATAACCCTACGTTTGGTCCACAGGAAGGAGAGGTGAGCATGACTCCTAGAAGATGTTTTATATAAATATTTTATACCTGAATGAGTTTACTTTTATAATTTTCTTAAACAGTTGTTTAGAAAAACAATTTTATAGGGTAAAAAAAATTCCTAATGCAAAGTGCCTTTCTTTAAGGAGGAGAAGAAGATTTTGTTTTACCACCCCAGTGACGTTGAAAAGAATGAGAAGATCCGAAATGTGGGCCTTTGTGAAGCCATTGTTCAGTTCACCAGGTAAAGATCATAATCCCATACTTATAGCAGTAGCAAAGTGTAACTACATTAACATTTTCCCCTAATACTTTACTGGCAGAATTGATGTGGCTGTGTTTATTTGGGTATTTTAATACTTGGTAACATTTATCACATGACTTAGTTTGACCAGCTGTGTTAAAGCCCACCAAAAGGAAGGTGTCATTTCTTTGAACCAGAAGTATAACAGGATATGGACATGTTGCAATAAGTAGCTAGATACACACAGATAAACATCTGATGTCTGAAAAAGCACAAAATGAGTAGCTGATCATTGTTTGACTGTGTGTCTGTTCTTTTCACAGTCATGTCTTTTATCTTCCAGGACCTTCTGTCCGACAAGACCCGCGAAATCCCTGCACACACAGAAGAACCGGCAGTTTTTCTTTGAGCCTGAGAACAATTTCTGGACAGTCATGGTATCTTAACAGTTTACATGTCCCTTACTTCTACAGCATTTCCTCTGACTTTAGTTGGACTGTAATGTAGTTTTACTTTGATCCCTTTTTATTTGCTGTTTCTATATATGTACCTCAGGTGGTTCGAAACCCAATGATTGAGAAACCAAGCAAAGATGGTAAACCTCCCACAACAGAATATCAGGAAGAGGAAGTACTTGTAAGTACTAAGAGATACTCTTAGATGTCTTATTTATTTATGTTAGAACATTGTCAGTTTACTCATCGTGATCTCTTGCCTTTGTAGGATACTGTTTATAGTGCAGTTTTAAAGGAGTGCTACAGTATGTACAAGGTCAGCCACACTATTTTTCAAATTATCTGTCATACATCTTCCATTTTGTTCTTTTGCATTTGTAAAGTGTGCATAGTTTTTCCACATATATTTTACTGCAGTAGGGGCTTATTCTAGTAAAGAATTCTTCTATTCTAAAAGCCATATAATGGCACACCTCTAGTATCCCAACACTGCCAGTTTAAACCTTGATCTTGCAAAAAGTAGAATTTTGTAAAAATGATGATTTTTCTCTATGCTGTAGCTCTTTAACGGCACGTTTGGCAGGGCGATGGAAGCTGGTGGAGTAGAACTGCTCACTCAGAAACTTGAAAAGTTCTTCTACAGGGTAATAGTCTTTCCGTTTCTTAATTTGCTTGGTGGATCCAAGTACTATTTTTGTTTATTTGTAAGTACATGTCACTCTTGGGTGAAACTTCTGAAAAGATGTCTTTGCAGCCATGCCTGATTTCTTAATAATGATGTGCCTGAATTAACTGTCTGTAATGTCATGCTTCAGTTGCCTTGCTCAAACAGTGTAGCTCTAGGCATAAAGACTTGTGCATTTGTAATTGTAGAATACCATCCTTAAGGTAACATGGACTTCCCTGACCATTGTGTAACCCAAGGACAGGGAGAAAGAGAGTGGGTGTGTTGTGTGTGTCGCAGATTGAATGTCAGTGCTGCTCGGCCCCATGGTCACACTAGAGTGTCAGTCACAGAGTTTCTTATTCCACTTTCTTTATTGTACTGTAAGGAAGCACTTGTATGCAGGTAAACTAACCCCTTTCTTCTTTCCTTTTCATGTGTCTTGTTACTGTCGGCGTGTGTTTGTGTGTCTGCGTCTGCGTGTGTTCCCTCTGGGGTTTCCAGTATCTACAGACTCTCCACTTGCAGTCCTGTGACTTGTTAGATGTCTTTGGTGGCATCAGCTTCTTCCCACTGGACAAGATGACCTACCTGAAGATCCAGTCCTTTGTTAACAGAGTGGAGGAGAGCCTCAGCCTGATCAAATACACAGCCTTCCTGTATAACGACCAGCTTATCTGGTACGGACTGACTGCTTGTTTAAAAATTTCCTCTGAACTGTGTCTGCCTGTCACTGCTATCCGTCACCTGTAAGATCTGACAGTTCGTATAACGTTATACAACCTCACACAGTTTTGTATTTGCAACAATATACCTAGTTAAAAGCACTGGCATCTCCAACCACATCATGGCATTCTGGGTAAACAGAGGTGGCTTTAAGCCCAATCCATAATCCTCTTTGCAGTTTGTATACTCCTTAACATGCTGTTTACCTATAATTGCACTGGCAGCCATTCGGCTCAGTGTGTAAACACAGGGATTATGTACTAATGAATAGTCTCGAGAGCAGTGTGTGGTCTTTCATTGCCAACGGCCAATAGACAAGAAGCAAACGGGATGTTTAATTATTGTCTAAATTAAGTGGTTGCTCCTGTGCTGCGTGTGTGCTTCTGTGCTCGCCTCTTGAGTATTTGTTGTAGTATGTTTACCACCACAGCTGAACAGTAATTACCACCAGGAGACACATTGTTTCAACATACAGCCCATCATTCACAACACAGCTCACAGCACACTGAAAAATACGGTGCAGGGACACACATCTTGCTTTTGAATTTTGGTAGCGTGCGTTGTGAAGGTGTAATTCTGTGGCTGGGTCTGCAGGAGCGGACTGGAACAAGATGACATGAGGATTCTGTACAAGTACCTGACCACCTCGCTGTTCCCCAGACACTCTGAACCGGAGGTGAGGAGGTGGGAGTACACAAGGGAGAGAGGAAGTGAATAGCTGAAGGAAGTATGGGTGACAAATTGAGTATGTAATGAAAGAACCAGTGGAGGGATGTTTGTGTGGGATGGAGGAAAGAGTAAGCCATTAATATTATTTTTACAGCAATGTCACACATTTTCACTCTAACCCTTATTTCTTGATTTCTTTGTCATCTTTTCTCTTCCCAGCTGGCTGGAAGGGACTCTCCTCTGAGGCCAGAGGTTGCTGGGAATCTGCTGCACTATGGGAGGTAAGTCCCTGACCCACTGTATCTCTGTATTCTTTGCAGAGGGCAAGATAAAACTGAGAATGCAGGTTCAATGTTGTTCAAACCTTTCTGGGAGCAGTGAGTGTGTTTATGTCAATTAAGAAACTGGTGTCCTACATTAGGTGTTAGAAAGCATTCTCTGGAAGTGCACATCAGTGTTTACATTGGATGTGTGTCAGGATTATATGAGGTTCAAAGATTTTTATTGTCAATTCACCATATGTGCAGGACATGCAGAAAATCAAAATACTGTAATTTCCGGACTATAAGATGCACCCACTAAAAACATTAAGATGAAAAAAAATTTTGTACATAGCTACAGGTGTCCACGTTGTAACATGAGATATTTCGACAGCCAGATTGATCGCCTGTAACTTGAAAGCTGCATCATATGCATTTCGTGTGTTGTCCACGACGAGGGTGTGTGCATGAAGTGACAAAAGTAGCAGCTTATAGTCCGGAAAGTACGATGCCGTTTCTCTCTCACCTAGTGTTGAGTGCCATAGCATTTAGGAACTGAAATAGAATAAGAAACTGGATTAAAGTAATTAGGATAAAACTAAATGGTACAACCAATAGTCTATGACTCAAAAACTTTAAAACACGACCAGGTATGTTATCCGGTCCAGCTGCCTTGCGTGGGTTAATCCTGGAGAGGGTCTTCTTCACGTTGGCTGCAGACAAACACACAGCCTACTCGCCCGGGGGAGGGGTGGTTTGGTTGTGGTTTTGATCCACCTACAGTAACGACTTTGCTTGCAGTCAGCAAACTTAGATAAGTGGGTATCTCCCTTGGCTAACATTTGTAGAGTATCACCACAGCCTCAGGTAAATCTTCTTGCTATTCAGTTTTACTCTGACTAATTCAAGTTTGCTAAGGTGGTTGCTGTCTAGGGGCTGCTGCAGTGTTTAAGTTTGACTCCTGGTGGCCTATCATGGGACAGGAAGCACAATTTTGGAATGTCCTGCTGGAAGACTCGATAGAATAGAATCTTATTTGGTGAAGGCCAGAAAAATGGCCATAACTGCAATAAAGTAAAGTTAAAAAAAAGGCTGCAGATGGACTTGTAAATCTACGTAGCCAAAGCTACATGAGAAAATGCACTTTTCCACATACTGACATGCCTTCCAGTGCAAATGCTTCCACTGAATATTATGTGAATTCCAGTGTATTAACAGTGAAATCCTTGTTCAGTTTCTGACCTTATAATTTGGATCAGTCATGGAGGAATGAGGGTTGAAAAGCTGCTCATCCACTTTAGAACTGAAGAAATGAATCTCTAAATGTTTTTATAATTACTATGCCAAAGGCTCGATTATGTCTTGTTCAGTCCATCGCAAGATGTCTTGACTGGTACTGATGTGGCATGTTGCTGTGAAATTTAGGAATTTAATGAACACATTTTGGTAACAACGAGATCTTTTCTGTTGTAACATCACCAGGCCAAACCACCCCCTTGAGCAGCATTTAGACCAATTACATAGTGTTATAAAAAAATAACAATAAGCATGGACTCCCTGCAATTGACTAGATATTTACAAACCATTACATTTAAGATCTGGGTTTTGGCTTGTTGGTCAGAATAAACAAGATATTTGAAGACAGCACCTTGGGTTCAGGGAAACTGTGATGAATTTTCTGACATTTCATAGATCATTAATGAAACAGTATTTGGCAGAATAATAGCAGCTTTAAGCTAAATGCTAATGTCCACATGCTAACGTGCTCACAGTGACAAGCACAAGCATGTTTACCATGTTCACTATGTGAGCTAGGTAGATTTAAACATGGGATGTTTTACTGGTATTGAGTCTGGTCATAAAACAAAGTATAGCATGAATGTTTTTCACCACTAAAAGCTCTTACTTTTCATGTTGGGGGGAACATGGATGGCATGAATGGCAAATGTCCCAGCAGTCCATTGAACAGTTTTCTAGACAATTCCCTCTGAACCACAGATGTGAAATACATGATGGTGGTGATAGAGGTCAGAAGGATTCATCCTCTGGGGTCCATGCATGCACAAAAATGAATTTAGTGCAATCAGTAGCAGTGGAAAAAACATCAGTTTAAATCCAAGCGGTCAACCATCTGACCACGTTTACGCAGCATACTGTTCTCTGTTCTGTCCAGGTTTTTGACAGGACCTGCCAATCTTAAAGATCCAGAGGCCAAATTTCGATTTCCAAAAATATTTGTCAGTGCAGAGGGTGGCTATGAGGAACTTCATCTGATTGTTTATAAGGTAAAGTCTGCTATTTCGTGACAGTCTATATACTGTACTTAATCTCTTGATTCATTTATACAAACACAGTAATGTTTTTTTTAATATATTAAAAAAGGAGACAAGTTGTTCAATTTTTAGAATGATTTTCATAATCTGTGACTGGAGGATTTGGTTGATTTAGGATAAAATATTGCACTGCTCTATGGATTTTTGGGATTAGACAGCTGAATTTTAAAATGATTAAGTACACCCCATGATACTTATCATCACACTAATGTAATGTATAAACTGTGTGACCTTGATTCTGCATTTAACCTGCGCTGATCTGTTCTTTCCCAGGCGATGAGTGCTGCAGCTTGTTTTATGATCAGTGGTAAGTGTGTAGCCCCCCAGTAGAATAACTGTCATTTCCCTTTTCCTGGTTGATTTCCTAAAACATAGTTCTGTTATTTTGGTATTTTTTTAATATTTTGGCCTTTTTACTGCTCATATCATGCTAAAATATCACGTTTTCTTCAGCTCGTGTCCCGTAATGGCTGACTCTTCTCTCGCCATTTTTCCCCAGCCTCTGTGGAGCTGACAAGAGAGTTTTGTGAACAGCTGGATGGTTTGGTGGGCCCTCAGCTTACCTTGCTGGCATCTGATATATGTGAACAGTTCACCATTAACCGCAGGATATCAGGGTCAGTTGAGAATCCACCACTCTACTAGCTCATCTGAATTAACATTACCCTCCTAAGATCCTCAGCTGGCATTCAGGTCAGTGTCCTGATTTGGCCTGGTGGAGCTGTAAATTACTGGATACAGCATGTGCTCTCAGCTCACCTGGACAATGGAGTACACTTAAGTAAAATGCACAAGTTACTTTTAGGAGGATGTTAAAAACCAAAATGATTTGGTGTACTCTACTATTTATTAATATGTGTGTGCGTGATGGTCTGTCCCAGAGTGACCCCCATTCTTTAGCCTGTTGTTGGCCTTTTACTGATTTATACAGCGACCACTGCTCCAGCTTTTGTGTTAAATGCACTAGCAAGATATGGTGTTCCTCCTGATCTTTGCCACATAAAGGAACCTCTTCCCTTGCTTTCAGTGTTATAAGAAATTAGGTCAACATCCCACAAAACAAATCAGTGTCACCTTAAAAATGAAGGAGTGTCCTTGGGGGGGAAGTATTGTTCTTATTCTGCAAAGAAAAGTTATTTTGTTCAAAACCACAGTAAAATAAATTTCAAGGATTCTGTAATCCCAAAGATGAATGAAGATGTCATTACAGTCACTTAATTTTTATTTGGTACTTTTTTGGTTATATCTGTACTTCTGCATTTTGTCCTTTCAGGCCAGAGAAGGAGCCCCAGTTTAAGTTCATCTACTTCAACCACATGAACCTGGCGGAGAAGAGCACCATCCACATGAGGAAGACAGCCAGTGTTTGCCTCACCTCTGTCCATCCTGACCTCATGAAGATCCTGGGAGACATCAACTGTGACTTTGCCAGGTACATCACAGAACAATTCTAGCTGTATTTATGTTTACCAAATGCCTTCAGACATTTGTTAGAGATTTTCTAGTGACCGGCCACAAATCAACCTGGTGGCATTGCTGGCCGCCTCAGCAGAAACCGAAGAATAGATGCAATTGGTTAGTTTTAGTTAAGAAAGCTTTGCTTTTATGTCAGTCTCAGAATATAGTACAACAGCACGGGGCCATTAAAACTATCTTGTTTTCAGATTTCATAAACTCAGGAAGGTGGAAAACTGTAGTCTTTATTGTTTCCCTTGGATATCGGCCCTGCTCCGTCATTTTCATGCATAATATGATGCTTCCAAAAACATGGTAAACTTATTATCTTTTGAAGCAGTCATGACACTGCGGTCATTTGAAGTCCTGTTTACAGTCTGCAGGACATAGAGTGGCATCAACATTCATAGCGTGTATTCTGGTGTCAATATCAGTTCCTTTTTTGTGCAGATGGTGTGGACATTCTGGTTGTCATCTTGTATTGTTAGAATGCTCAAAATATATACACTGTGCAATTTACCATATAATTCAATGTTGATTTTTAGGTAAGTGTGTGTGTGTGGTGTGCTTTTAATATAAAATTCATTATTTTAGTAATTCTAAAAGTTTTTAAATGTGGTTTTGTAGATTGCATAGGTAACTTTAGGAGTACAGTTACCATTAAATACAAAGAACCTGCTGTAGTGTGGGAGTTGCCTTGATGTGATGGGTCTTAGTTCTTTGTCTGCTTTCCAGGGTTGATGAAGATGAAGAAATCATTGTAAAAGCAATGACTGACTACTGGGTGGTCGGCAAGAAGTCAGACCAGAGAGAATTGTATGTAATCCTGAACCAGAAAAATGCCAATCTGATCGAAGTAAACGGTATGTCTCCACCACCTGGCAAAGAGTCAATCTGTGCCATTACCATCACAGTAGAGAATATGCCTTCACACTAAATCTCCACTTCACCCTTAAAGCCCTTGAATCTTTTCTTTTCCACAGAGGAGGTTAAGAGGCTTTGTGCGACACAGTTCAACAACATATTCTTCTTGGACTGATGGAGCAGAAAGGCAGAGACTTTCACCACACTAAAAACTGTCAGTGTTGCAGGGTATCATGACAGCATCAGTGTAATGCAATAACAATGCATTGTTAAATATAACAATAAAAAGCTTTCTCACCAAGTTTTTTTTTAACCTGCAGTACAAAAATTGTAATTAAGTGTAAAAATCCAGATTTTTACTTTACCTGTACGTTTTCTTTGTACATACTTGTAGGATTTTAACTTTGATTTCTTTCAAATTACAGTTTGTTCATGCAGTTTTTAATGCACACATAATGACAATATCTCAAATTAATTTAAGAACTGACATGCACAGAACGGTTTACTCCAGGTTTTTTTGGTGAGCTGTGATTGTCTTCAAATGTGATGCCATCATGTCAAACATATTGTGGTTTGTAAAAAAAAAATTATAAAGAAATTATTTTACAGAGTGTTTGGCTGTCGTTGCTGTGGGATGCTTTTTCAGTGAATGGTGTATGTACATAATATGTATTGTAAAACTTTCAGCAACATGAAATAATTCTGTCTATTAACCACTACAGAACTGGGGGTCATGGGCCATGTCATGGATAGTAGTCACTGGCAGTCTCAAGTGAATTATTGTAAGGGCCCAGCAATATCACCACTTTAGTCTTAAATATTTATGGTATGAAATCTAAAGTCACTATTACAGTACAACAATACTAAATTCACCTTTTATGCAACTGAATAACATCTTAGCAACTTGGAAGTACTTCATTTTTGTCAAGACAGAAGAAAGCACAACAAGAAAGAACATGAAGTGTAATAAAACAGAATCTGTCAACTTTCTCATTATTTAGAAAAAATATATACAAATAGGCTACAGTATTTCCTTTCTAATATTCTGGGGCGGAATGTAGGGTAGAGATATATTGTATGTTTATAAAAATGTCATTAGGTACTTGGAAAAGTGTGAGGAATGAAATGACAAAACAACACGTAGAAAAGTGGGCGGTAATAAAATGTTAAAAGATTTACACTTCACACTCCAAACCAGTGTGTGCCGTCAAATGTTGTCACCACAGAAAAACAATCCACAGAAGAAGAGCATGGATCAATCAGAGCTCGCCGTTCTGTCTGACTTGCAGCCAATCGGCGTCAACGTCGTAGATTTTTCAAATTTGAACCCGCCATCATTGTTTGTGTTTTTTTCCATTCTGGACTGAGTCGATTCGTTGCTTGCTAAGAGCTCAGAGAGCATTTACTGGAAAACACCATAAAACACGTTTATGTTTATAAAAGCGTTTTTGAGGAAAAACAAGGTAAGATGAATTTGTTATTACATATAGTATAGATTTATATGTTTTGGTTTGTGATTGCTAATGAACCCTTATTACCCAGTTTATGTCCTGCTCTTGTCTCACAAACAGTTGGTGCGGGGCGTTAGCGTGTTTAAATAACGTTTTTATTATTTCACCATTTTCAGCTAAATGTCAGCTGGTCTAACTTTACGTTAGTTAGTTGAACCTCACATTATAATGTATGGTCTAACTTTACGTTAGTTAGTTGAAGTGAAATTGACAGCGGTAGCTCAACCTAACATAATGTTAACGTTTTGTATTTGACCACAGCTTTGTGCTAGCGTTAACTAAACATTGTTAGCTACATAACATTAGCATTAGAGTTAGCTTAAGCTGGAGACACCTCCCAGGACAGAAGAGAAGTACTACTAGTTGGCAATGAGGAAATCTTGTAACCATTATACGTTTAATAAATATTTCGCGTTATTTTGTTAACGTGTTTTTGATGTTTTTTTCATGCGTCTTTCGATGGGAATGTGCAGTGTTACGTCTTGATATCGAAGTCTTTTTATAATGTAATCTAATTTTTATGACAGTTGGTACTGAACTAAGCAAATATTTATGATCAGTAATAACTATGACATGCAATGCATTATGCCTATTAACACACCATCTTCTGTTCCTCTTCCTAATTAACGTTACTCCAGCTGCCATGGAGTCTCGGTTTGCTCACCTGCGTCAGCGGGACACCAGTGTATCTATGCTGAGAGTAAAAATGTCCCGCAGAAGGTCTCAGTCCCAGAAGGAGAATCGAGAACGGGCCATGAACGCACGCAGGCAGCTAGACAAGCTCCCAGAGCTGGAAATGTCTTCCCTGGATGTCTCCATTGCCGCAACCCACATGTCAACCATTCAGGAGAGGACACAGAGCAATGCAAAATCTGCTGAAAGTAAATCTTCACTTTCTAACACAGCTTCAGCTAAAGCCTAGTAAACTGTACATATGTGCAGCGAGGCACCCACAGCAATAAGCCTCCATTTTCAATTCTTGAATAAAACAGAATGCAATAACTGGCAGCAGTTTACCATATACAGAAACACTTCTGTGATCACCAGACCATGTCTTGGTCTTTTATCCAATTTGTATCTTATTTCACATGTTTTTCCACAGGTAGAGCAGAAGACAGGTTAAAACAGCTTGAGCGCTGGAAAGAGCGTAAGGCTTTTGAGAGAGAAAAGAGAGAAAGGGAGCTGAAAGGGGTATTTAAGACTGGCCTGTATCATCCAAAGGACACTCTTACCCTCATCCCTCTGCCTGTAGTTCCAGCTGCCCCAAATGCCCCAAAAAGAGCTAAAGAGGTAAGTGAGGACTGATCAGTAGATGTCATTTATTTCTCTCCCCCACTGGTTTTATTTTTTCTTACTGGTTATGATGATGAAATGATAGGTCTTTGTGACTGGGTGCAGTTGTTATGAAATGACTCAAGTGATCAACATGTAATGTTTGCTTGACTTTCAGATAAAAGTGAACCTAGCTCCATCACAGAGTACCAGAGTCACTCGCTCAATGAAACAGCAGCAGCAACTGAAGGTACTATTTTCTCTATCTTTCTCGGATGTTCTCAGAATAAGTTCCATAAAAATAAAACTGCATTTGTTGCATTTTTTTTCTCTTGCAAAAATCTCTACAGCCTATGAAGGCACAAGACCCTCATGCTTTGGCAAAGAAAGGTAATGTAATCCCTCTTTATTTCAAAAGACAGATACCATCTACTGCAATCTGGTGTGTTTTAGATCTGACCTCTTGCTTGTCCTATAGCTCAGCCTGCTGTGGAGAGATCAAAGAGGAGCCAGGTAGCTCCTGTCAAGCCAGCTCCAACCAAGACCAAAGTTTGTGCAGGTAAGAAGACAAATGTATAAGAAAAATCCTCGCAAATAACTGGACCTTGAAACCAGATATTGGTTTGGTTTCACCCTATTGTGTTTCCTTATTTGCATCTCATTTGGTGTCTCTGTGCCATGCCATCCGGCTATAGTGGAGCCCATCGTAGGAGCTTTGACATCCAGATCAACCAACAGGCCTCCTGTTACAGCAGTTCCTTTAGTGAAACATAAACCCAAGGACAAGACTGCAGGTACACACTTTGTCAGCCATAGTTCAGTATTTATAAAATTGGCAAAGAAACTGTAGGTGTGACTATCAAAGCAAACAGAAAGATGCCACTGCTCTGGAAAACCACTCTATATTATTAAATGTCTCTCCTCACACTCAGATGTAAGAATAACAAGGAGCAGAGCAGTTGTCAACACTGTGGCTCCCCCTCTTGGCAGAGAAGGGAAATGTAAAGGTATCATTTAAGACCATCCTTATGTTGATCACTTTGACTTGTCCCATGTGAATATGAGCAGTTGTTTTAATTTCTTACACTATTTTTGTGCATCTCTCTTTTCTACTGTACAGCACCTGTCATTAACAACAACATTCAACCTCCTGTCAACATGGTGAGCATTTCTGTGAGGTTTGCACAGGGTCTGTTAAATCTGACTTTGACTTGTGGATTACATAATTTGCTGTTTCTGTTTTGTGTAGGAGCCCAAGCTGAAGGAGCCAGAGGAAGAGCCTCATTCTCCCAGCCTGACACAGTGTTCTGATGAGGAACACACAGCGGTGGACCAAGCCCCAGCTGATTCTGTCCCTGCTTCGAATCCTGTTGTGGCTCTACCTTCTTTATCTTCATTTGCTCCTGACAGTTTTGTCTTCCAGGTGCCCGCTGGTTTGTCACCCTTCAAGTTTGAGCCTCTCACTCCTCGCTCAGCAGATGCCTTCCTTACACCAAGGTCAGTTTTAGCTCTTCATTTTTAGTTGGATATTTAAGACACGGAAATCTTTAATATTGTTATATTGTTGCCCAATCATAGAAGAAGCCTATGAGAAAATGAGTAGGATGAAACTTTGATGTTTCTGATCTATCTAAAGCCATGGTGTGACTATTGTAACCCAGCTGCAGCTTCAGCCTGCCACCAGCTCCCATGTTTAGTGCTGAGCCAAGTGAACCGTCACCATCTAGATCCCCACATTGCTCTCCTCCTCGTACATCTCCTACAGTGGCCCCTCTGACTCCAGGCAGCCCCCTGGAATCAAAGCATGATGTACTATACTTCAGGTGGAATACCTTTTTTCTTTCTAGTTGCCTCTGCTCAGTTTTACAATTACTTGAGTTAATCCAGTGTTTTAACTACATTTCTTATTTAATTTAGATCAGAAATTGCCAATGAGACGGACAGACTGACGGCGCTCTGTGTCCACTGGGAGTCTAAAGTGGAGGATGAATCCATTCCTGAAGAGAGTGAGTGTATCTTCTCTACCAAAGTGACTTTCTGGTTATGGTGGTTTGATGTCAAAGTGTGGTGGTGTTTCAACTTGGGGAAAATAACATTGTTCCCTAATTGAACAGCTGTAATGGGTTTTTTGTGTGTGTGTTTAGTGAGAGACTATATGCGTACGGTAGTCGGCCAAGCAAAGCTGCTGATAAAAGAGCGCTTTAACCAGTTTAGCGGTCTGGTGGACGACTGCGAGCTGGGCTGTGGGGAGAAGATCATCACATGCACTGACCTGCAGGGATTCTGGGACATGGTTTATTACCAGGTGAGTGCCTGATAGAAGACCACCAACCCATTGTTTTACCCACCAGTGAGAAGGAAAACTACATGTATATTTTCAATCTTTCAGGTAGAGGATGTCAACAAGAAGTTTAACGCTCTCAAAGAAGCAGAGGGTCGAGGCTGGGTGGAGGAGCACCAGCCCCCACCACGACAGAGGAAAGTAGTGAAGGTGAATACTTAATTTATTGTCATTAACACTCTTGCACTCTTAGTTTTTTCATGCTTTTGAAAACACATTTGTGGTCGTTTCTGTGACCTGCATCATGAACACTTGTACAGAAAACACAACACTGTAGAAGTCAACTTGTGCGTAGGTTTGTGTAACCCTGCTATGCGTGTCTCATCATTTTGACAGAAACCATCAGCTGCATCTTTTAAGCCAACGGGAACCAAAGCAGCAGCCAAGTCTCGCCTGGCTGCCGTGAAAGCAGCCATGAAAGCCAGACAGCAGAAAGCTGAGGCAGAGAAAGCAGCAAAGGATGCTGGTAACACTGAGGACAACCAGTGCCTGAACTCTCAGGAACCACATCCCCAAGCAGAGGCACAAGTCCCAGACACAGTGGTTTTTGATGGAGGCTTCTTCCAAGTGGAGAGTCCAGCCAAAGCGTTAGGTGAGAGAAAACGGCCTCGCTTTTAATGTTGCATATCAGTGTTTCCTTTTGTGCGTTTCCCTGCTGCCATAATTAGAAGATTTAGACTAAGAAACCTGACATACACATTGTCATGTCTGTAGGTTCAGTGAGGAGATCCAGCCGTCTGAGTGCTGCTGTACTGCCTCGGGTGTCTCCCTTCTCCAATAGTTTTACACCTAGAAGAAGCACTCAACGATCGGTCGCACTGTCACAGACCCCGGTGCAGATGAACGCCCAGCCTGTCTACACTCCTGCTCACCTTCATCTTATCCTCAACCAAACCCCGGCAAAAGCGCTGAAGTCTCAGCAAGGCACCCCTGAATTGACCCAGAAGAGAAAGGATGTTGTCAATGTCTCTCTGTGTTTCTCCCCTGTCAAGGAAGTGTGCACAAGCCCGGTAGAACAGTCAGGAACAGTCTCCCCCCAGGATGACACGGCTGCTGTTCCTGAATTGGTCACACCCATACCTGTACATTCACTTCTACCCATTGTAGTCGAGGAACAAGACAAACCAGCTGAAGCTGTCAACATTGACCTCCCTCTCTCTTCAAGTTTGTCCCTCTCTCCATGTAAAATGCCTACATTCTCCAAGGACCCTGAGCCCTCATCATCTCTGAGTTTCACACTGTCACCATGTGGAACTCCCAGCCAACCTGCCATGGCCTCCCCTCCCCCTGTGCAGGGCCTTTTGGAAGCCCAAGAGTCCTTGTGTCCTGTGCCAGACACCTCAGTTGCTGAGGTAAACAAATCTTCGGTCTCATTTCCACATTGAAAAAATCTCAGCCTCGTGGGCTGCCACTGACTTAAAGCTGTGATCTGAACAAATTTCTCAGACTACAATTAACCAATTCTCTTTTAACTTTAGGAAAGTTTGGGGTTGGATGATTGTTACCTCCAGCCTTCACAAAGATGCAGCCTGCCATCGAGTGAGGCAGTTGCCATAGAGATGCAGTCACCTGCAGCAGTGGATGTAGAGATGAGAAGTCCCAGAGATCAATCTGAGGACCTGCTAACTCAGAGAGAGCCAGGTATGACTGATGCCCATAGGCACTGTGCATGCACACTGTACTCATAAGGTTTATATAAAGATGTATATTCTTCTGAGCAGAAGTAGTTTAACATTAACTTCTGGTGTTTTTGAAAACTGTCTTAAATGAACTGTCAAGGCTCAAGATATCAGATCTGTAAATGCAACTTGTAGTGACCATGTTATCATTTCCTGGTTATAAGGGAATAACCACACTTCTTCTTGGCACAGGTTTATTTTAAATGATATTGTAAATTGCACATTTTTACTGTCTTTACTCACTGTCATGCTTACTCTTTGTCACCACAGCACAGATAGCAGTGCCTTCAGTTTTCACACTTCAGTCACCACAGGTTAAAGTTTGTTTTGTTTTTTTATTTCTTGTCTTATCTCATCTCTTAAACTCATAATGATTTATTAACAAGGCTCTTACTTATTTCTGTTCTATTATCATTGATGCATATTCTAACTTTGTGTGTACATCTTTTAGAGCCAGACAGCAGAGTCTGCCCTGCTTCTGTTTATCCCAGATGTGAAGGACCGGATACGGGAATCTGTGTGTCCTAGTGACCTCATGGTGTTCACCCCTCCGTCAAACAAATAAAGTTGTTTCTTTTTATAAAACAAAGTTTTATCTTACAACATTTAAATAAACTTCTCTTTACAACAAGGAAAATGTTGGTACTTTTCACTTGCATCCAAGCATGAATCAGAAGTGCACTTGATGCTTTTATTACTGACTGTTTCAAGGCTCTGAGCACTTGTGGATGTACTGTAGATGGCCCAACAGTTGGCTTCATCCTGTGTTCATCAAGTTTCTCTGCTGTGCACATCTGGTCATTCATCAGCCTTCTTATGCTCAGTCTTCCTCTAGCACAATACAGTACAAAACTACATGTGTTTATGGCACAAAGTAAAAAGGTGAGTAAAGTAGCAGTGGGATGATTTGGGGCAGTTCAGATCCAAAAAACAATTGGAATGAAAACTACTGGGAAAGAAGTGAACAATGTCATCTGGTGGTAGGGTGTGGCTTGAATTTTACTATAAAATACACTGATGCTTAGATATGTTGGCTGTATTTATGCAACTAGAAAGAGCTAGATTTTTTTTTATTTAATATAAAGCAATGAAGAAAACGACCCTACAGTCAAGTAGAGAAGGTTTCATATTTTCTACACATCAATCCACAAAGCATACAGTAAAAAAAAAAACTTGATCCATGAAGATTGTCCTTTGGTGGAATGAAAATCACTGATGTACCTGGTTTATATATACACACATTACATATAAACTAATACACTGACTTCATAATGGTGCCAATGTACCTTAACCCTATAAAACCATTTGTATCATTTGCTACAAGAGTTTGAGCAATAAAAAATAAAAAATGCCCCATGTGTCAAATGTGATACAAAAAAAAGGCACATTTATTCCTATATGCTTGGACTGACTATCTATGCATAAATGGCAAATAAAAATCTAAAAGGATTAATAAACATATCAGTTCCAAAAAATTAGAATGTTCTAGCTATTTTTTGATGTGTCAGGCTTTACAGAGTTAACTGGGAATTATTAGAAGCAGACTACCTGGCTGTTTGCTTTGCTTTATCCAGGCAGAGTTTATGTTCATTCACGTTTCTGGTCACCAACTGGTGATGTTCAAAAGCTGGGAAGAAAAAGTGGTTGAAGAACTGGTGGATTGTCTGGGTCCACAGCTCCATTCTGCTGGTTTGCATAGCCTTTCCTCTGCCTCTATGCCCTTGTGTGTGCTCTGGAAGACATATGAACCATATTGTACATACAAGTGACAGAAGAAAGAAGGACACAACATAAAGTGTAATAAGGTTTTTGGCCATCATGTGCCACCAGAACAGAATCACTGGCACTGATTCTACAAGACGTTCACTCCAATATTAAATCCTTAGTTATATACACTAGGCATGACTACAAGCTTTGTTTCTATATAGTCGATTCAATGGATATGTCACTTAACTGTCTGAAAATAGCATATGCAAGAGTGCTGGGGTTTCACTTCTATGATATATACATACTAATTACTTGAAAGACCTAGACATAAAAGACAGCAAAACAAACCTGCAGACTGAGGTCCCTCAGACACATCTTGTTGACCCCCAAGATCCTGAGCAAGCAATAATTCCACTGTGTCACTGGGTTTCTCTATCTGTTAAATGATATAAATACAACAACTCAGCAAAGTCATATAGCCAAGCTTATAGCATATTTTATTACTATTAACAGCAGGGGCATAAAAATACTAATGCCAATCCTGAATATGTGGAGGTTTTTAGGCGTTTGATTTCTAACAACAAATCCTAACAGACTTCCTAACTCATATTGGCTCTCTGTGATACAGCCCCATTTGTAAATTTCTGGTTAATTTGTACCAACCTCCACTGGCTTCAGGCTGGAGATTTCTGGAGTGGTGGAGGAACTCGGTGGAACTGGCACCTGGACAGAAAAAAAGTGTTAAACATCTCTCTTGTATTTTATTTTCATGTGCAGAATTCCAAGCTTTACCGTATAGTTTCATTCATTTCAAGAACAACAACGAAGTCATAGTATGCTGGGGCAACTTTTTAAAGTGGGTAAGGGGTGCAGAGGTCATGGCAGGCTTGAGAAAGGATCTGACCGAATGGGATGCCTCCACTTCAGGCAGACCTTTCCTGGCCTCAGTGTTGGATCTGGGCAGGGACTCCTCCAGACCTTCAGAAACCTGCTGACACTTCACCTCAGCACAGCCAAGAAGTACCTCAAAAAACTCCAGAAATGTAATCTGCAGCAGAAAGAGTGGGACACCAACAAAAACAATACACAGTGGGGAACGGAATACGCTGAAAAGGATAGGTGCATGAATATTTATCTTTCAGTGGGTATAGAAAAATGATGGATTAGTCCATGGGCAAACCTCCTGCTCCAGACAAGAGGACAGATTCTTGGGTTCAGGACTCTCTGCAGTAATGATCTCCAGCAACCTCACTGTGGTCAGTTTATTATCCAATAGATGAAGATCCTGGCAGGACATACAATAAACTAATCAAAAAAATGCATATATTTTATGTATGTGATTTACATGTTTAATGGACTGAGTGTGACATGTTTGTTCTTGGTAAAATGAAACTTGTAACAGTATAAGCTTTGACACAAACTGAACATTGGATGTAGTTTTTCTACTCCTCTAAAACTCCTTAAAATGATTTAAAATCACTAAAATCAATCAGCTATCTGGTTGTTTTGATAGGAGTAAGAAAGAAGAGAAAGAGCGTCCTTTTATATGAATGAAAAAGACTGTTAATATCCTTGGTAGCCGTCATGTTAAAGCCTGTTGTACCTTGAACATCCACAGCAGGTGTCGATAGGTCATGGTCCGGTCATTTCTTGGAGCTGCGTTGACTCTGCAGTAAGCCTGATATACTTCCCAGCACCTCTTCATGTAGTTCACAGCCACCAGTGAAAGGTCTGGCTGTCCAAACAGGAAGCCTAAAACAAGACAGGTGTAGCTGATGAAACCTCCAAACTGATAACGTCCTGATCGACAGAAACACCCATACTAATTGTCTAAGATTTGTTGTCACTAGTTTATTATGTCTTTAGCATGGTCTTGACCAGTCAAATTTTACCACGTGAGGCTTCTAATATTATAATAAATCCATTTCCAGGTCCCTCTGTCATCTGACATGTATGCACATGCGCACATATTATATGGTGAGCACCTTTTACATTCTTAACATTAGGAAGGATATTGTCTGTCATCAGTTTGGATAAGCAAGAAGCCAAAAGGTTCCGTTGTGACCTGTGACAAGAAGAAATGTGAAATCAGATATAAAAGTTTATATTCAAATTGTATCATTGTGTTATTCCTTGCTGTGGTGATTATTCTGTCCTGATGTTGCTTTTAGAGTGAAAACATTATAACTATAACAAAACTGGAGCTCACTTATAGTTTGAGATTTTTGTGGGGCTTTTAGGCGCAGCTAAATGTTATAACAGTTCTAACAAGCTGATATTAAAGCTACGGCATGTACCTTTTTTCACATATTTCTGTTATAGAAATCTGCTAAAGTATTGTACCAATTAAGTCTTTGATGATGGTGCAAGATAGAAATTCAGGATCACCAGTTATTATGATTCATCCTGAGGTGACCATGAATGTCTATAGCAAATTTCATATCAGTCCATTCAATAGTTTTTGAGACAATCACTCAGAAGCTCAAAAAAACAACTAAACAGTTGTGCTAGAAAAAAGTCATCAGGATACATCATCTGGGGAGCATGAATGTGATATAAAATGTCATGGCAATCCACTGTATAGTTGTTGAAATACTTGAGTGTGGCCTGAAGTGGAGGACTGACTGGACAACAGAGATTTTCATCCCTATAACCATGTTGCTAGCATGGCTAAATGCTTGACTGTATTTCACTGTAGATAATTCAAGCTTCTAAAGCTACTGGTGATGATCTACTGTGACAGGTTTTATTTCTTACACCATGTCTTTATTGTAGATGTGGTAGGCCACAATCACAAGACAGCAGAGGAGCCTACAAAACAGCATGGGGGTAAATGGAGAGTGGATGTCTGTAGTGGCATCCTCTGAGACACAAAAAGAGTGAAAGCATGAATTCTTCAAGCACCCAAATATACTGAAGTTATGAACTTATTAACATACTGTCCTGTCTATGTGACATGTAATCCTTCTCACCTTTGATTAAATGGTCTATCTGAATCAGAGTGATGTCATGATGATGGATGTTACAGTCTTTGAGCAGGCGCCAGAGCTGCAGGCGGGACAGCATGAAGGTGTTATCTGGGGAGTGGCCATGACTGAGTCTGCTGTAGAAACTATAGATGGACCTCAGCTCTGTGTCTTGCCTCAGCACCACATACCCCACCTGTTACAAGGCATGAACAGGGATGAATATGACAAAAGTGGGGTAAAGATTGTGCTGTATACTGGCAACTGTGCAGAAAAGTGGGACCCAACCTGTTTAAGCTCAGTGTCGTGCTTTCTCTCTGGGATTTTATCCAGAAGACATTCAATATTCAGAGCCACGTTTGGTCCTAGTATAGCTGTATCACTGTCTGACAGAGGAAATGCACCTGTAACAAAAGGATTTCAGTGTACCATTGTTAACAGTCACTTTGATGGCAGGCTGAGCATTTTGAATGGAGGTAATGTGCTGCAGGTGTTTACCGCGTAGAGGAGTGAGAACTCTGTTTCTGTGCAAGCTGGGCGTCATCATCTGATCATCCACAAATTCACCTTCAAAAATATGCCCATCCTTGAAGGTAAATTTGCTCTATGAACCATATAGCACAGCAACTTTTAATTACAGCTTCCATTAGCAGTCAAATGTTTG